TATCACCTATCATGACAAAACAATGTAACACTTGAAAAGTTAAGGCGGTGTTGTGTTTCATTGATTCAATTCTGGGTATTTTTAAAAATGGAGCATAATTGAGCAATCCGAAAGATGAAATTAGTTTGGTGGGAGGGTAATCAAAAAGTTAAGTAAGATGCAAGTGACATTTTTATAAACATATATTTCAATGTGTTTGGAAGTATTGCATGCAATTTTCACATAATAACGAGTCACAATGTTTCTTGCAACGTATTTTACGAACGTGAAATTTAAAATCACATTCATAACTTATAACAAAATGAAATTTAACAGAAGAACTCGGAACATTGTCTGTAACATAAAGTTTATGTAATAATCAAATGCAATCTTCCGTGTTTGGATTTTCTGACCTCCTATGAATAGCAAGTAAGAGTTCTGTTTTCTTTGACATCTTTGGTAACTTGTATGTGGCTGTTCTGTTTGTTGATGTGAGTGTGGAAGTCATCAATCTAGTCTGCATGTAGTGCTGTGATTGTGTCATCTACGTAGCAGAACCAAAAAGGTAGTATATGTTTGTATGTCATGAGCGCCCGTTCCTCTATAGATTGCATTACAATTTCAGCAGCTACATTAGAAACGGGTGAGCCCATTGCTGTTCCATGTAATTGTTTATAGTGTGTACCTTTGTACTGGAAGTAAGTCGAGGGGAGGTATGGGGCGCCAAATTGGACTTTATTCTAAACTTACAATACAACATAACATACTAAAATTATACATGGCAAACTTTATATACTTCGAGACAAATCTAAAAAATATATGCGAAACTTTTCATATACGTTCGAAACTTCTTGTATCGTATCGTCAAAATTTATAGCGTTCCAATTTTCATATACGGTATGGCGAACTTTTTACATTGTGTTCCAATTTTCATATACGGTATGGTGAACTTTTTACATCGTATTCCAATTTTCATATACGGTATGGTGAACTTTTTACATCGTATTCCAATTTTCATATACGGTATGGCGAACTTTTTACATCGTATGCCAATTTTCATATACGGTATGGCGAACTTTTTATATCGTATGCCAATTTTCATATACGGTATGGCGAACTTTTTACATTGTGTTCCAATTTTCATATACGGTATGGTGAACTTTTTACATCGTATTCCAATTTTCATATACGGTATGGCGAACTTTTTACATCGTGTTCCAATTTTCATATACGGTATGGCGAACTTTTTACATAGCGTTCCAATTTTCATATACGGTATGGCGAACATTTTTTATAGTATTCCAATTTTCATATACGGTATGGCGAACTTTTTATATCGTATTCCAATTTTCATATACGGTATGGCGAACTTTTTACATCGTGTTGCATAATGCTTTGCGATCCCACTCTGGATTTCATATGAATTTAAATATATTAGTGCCCAGGTCCCAGATTTTTAGAGAAGTGTATTGTTTTGATTTTGACGCCGCCATATTGACAACATGTTTGCATTCGACATCGTGCTATCTTACGGTGGCCCACAGCGGCAATGCAGATATATAAGTTAGGAATAGAAATCAAAGCATTTTGCATGAAATGTTTTTATTATTCATGATATATATTAGTGGAGCAGTAAATATATATTCATTGAGCAGATATATTTATAAAGTACGCAGATATATATTTTCAGTACGCAGATATATAATTTCAGTGCACAGATATATAATTTCAGTACACAGCGTAGATATATATTATCAGTGCGCAGATATATATTTTCAGTGCGCAGATATATATTTGTAGTGCGCAGATATATATCAGATTTTCAGTGCGGATATATATTTAGTACGCAGATATACATTTATGGATAAATTGATATTGTTATAAAATGAAAACATTAAACAAAATGGAAACATTAAACAAAATGAAAACATTAAACATTTAACTATGCTCTTATATTCGAATCCTCTAGTAAAATAATATTCAATCAGAGTTCGCTCGTTTTCTACATTGTTTGTATCAGAATCATGCGAAGGAATGTCAACCATATTGGCAATATTTTGTAAATGCAAATTTTCTCGCAGTTTCTCTTTTGTTGCTGAAACGTTTCTATATTTTTTGTATATATTCACAGTTCACACTATAAATATATGTTTGCGGAGTAAAAATATGTGTCTGCTTGTCTGCTTGCCATAAATATATATCCGCACTGAAAATCTGATATATATCTGCGCACTACAAATATATGTCTGCGCACTACAAATATATATCTGCGCACTGAAAATATATATCTGCGCACTGATAATATATATCTACGCTGTGTACTGAAATTATATATCTGTGCACTGAAATTATATATCTGCGTACTGAAAATATATATCTGCGTACTGAAAATATATATCTGCGTACTTTATAAATATATCTGCTCAATGAATATATATTTACTGCTCCACTAATATATATCATGAATAATAAAACATTTCATGCAAAATACTTTGATTTCTATTCCTAACTTATATATCCGCATTGCCGCTGTGGGCCACCGTACTATCTCGACTTTAAACTTAATAATTCAATCAAAATAAACTCTCACTACATGGCTGAAAATACTGGAAACTTTCGGGCTGCTTTATCAAATCTTGCTCAGGAGGCGCGTAATCTTCTGGATAATTTCGATGATAGAAATACTTTGACAATTTCGCTGCTTTAGAAGAATCATATCATTTTACACTTGTTGTTACGTCGTATCTGTTAATTAAAGTACAAATTCAAGATAGCAAAAGCGTTTTGATTGTTGCTTAATAAGTTGTTTTTATTTCAATGTATTTACTCGGAAATTGAAAGAGTTTCCAATGTTTCAAATGTATTCCCTAACATAGATGGCAAACTTAATTTTTGTTGGCAAACTTAATTTTTGTTGTAATAGTCGACATTGTTTGACAAATTGTTGAAATTAGTCCGGCATATCTACGTATATTATTACATGAATATTACAGAGCAATCTTACACATAGTTACTGTGTGACTTGATATATACTTCAATTGCATTGACATGCGTGATTATCAGGGGCGGATTATCTGGGGGTGGCAGGGAACTTTTCATTTCAAAAGCAATTATATATTTTATACCACCACCATTTTCAATCGAGTATTACCATGTGCGTTTTCATGAAAACATTAAAGTTGAAATTAATTACTAAGTGCATGCTCAGACAAAAATCATACAAATTTTTTTTTACAAAGGTAATAACATTTTCTTTATGCAAGTGGTTCACTCTTCTAAAAATTCGTAAAACATTGCGTTAATGGCATTCACAACATGCATGTACGTGTGAACTTTGTCAAATAAGTTGTTGTTTTGACTTGCTAAAGCTGCAATATAGGCAAACTGATCTTCAGTTAAATTTAGTGTTGTTTCAGGTACAACCACACCAGCTACATTTTCAATTTCATCACGTGCTTCTATTTCATATGATTCAACTTCATTGCTTGATAGTACATTGTCTAAAGTTGAGTTGCTGTGTGTTGCACATCTTACAATGCTTTCTGACCAAAGTTGCAAAGGCGATAGCCCTCCTTCAGTACTGATTCCATGGTGATTCCATTGATTAACAAACTCGTGTAAGGACTGATTAATGACTGTGACAAAAACAAGCTGTAGTGCAAGAAGATGTACCTCATTGGCAGGATCAAGAAGACCTGAATGTTCCATCATTTTAAATTGATCAATATAAGCCTTTAGAACACCAGTAGTAACATCTCTATGAAGCCTTTCAACTCGTTGGTTGTGAACTGAAGCACCTGTGATGATACTTCCCCTGTTTGTTCCACGGCACTCCAACATCATTCGAGCAGCACCCACGTTTTCAAGTCCTTGATCACATCTCACTCTTGAAGGTAATCCATATGAACGACATGCATCTTGGAATAATTCTAAAACTGTGTTTGCTTTGTTGTTAGTAGCACAGCTTAAATATGGTATCAACCTGGAGTAGCCATCAATGGATGTATGAACCACCATTCGCCAGTGAATCATTTTATGGTTCCCGTCGATGTGCCACAGAGCATTTGCACAACCCACATTGTAATTTCTTCTGCGAATTGCTCCCCGCCAACGAAGTGCTGTTCCAACTGGATCCAATTCACGTATTAATGTCCTCACACGTGACCGTTAGACCCTTATATTTCGGCTCCTCAGTGCACCTACCATACGTGTTTGTCCTATTCCTGGAGTAACACTCATAATCTCTTGCATCGTTTCTCTAAGTTCAATGTCACCTATGGTTGACCAAGATTCTTCTACATAAATTTGAAACTCTACACGTTTTCGTTGTAATGTTTTTGTTGAGATACCCAATAATTCAGCGATTCTAGTCCAAGAAAAGTGCAATTCCCTTAGACATTCTACTAATCTCTTAGATATTTCGAGTCGCGGTTGACCTCTTGTGCCTGTGTACCTTCTATGGCAATTGTAGGTTGGAGTATAAGGTATCTGATTCTGAAGGTCGTTGATAAGGTTCTGAAAGAAACTCTGAAGTCGACTTAAATAGAAGGATAACTGGTGCATGTCATTATAAAAACTCGCCATATCAAAATCATCCATAAGATTTAATGCTCTCTGTTTCAACGTGAATACAGTGTCAATATGGCGGCGTCAAAATCAAAACAATACACTTCTCTAAAAACCTGGGACCTGGGCACTAATATATTTAAATTCATATGAAATCCAGAGTGGGATCGCAAAGCATATGCAACACGATGTAAAAAGTTCGCTATACCGTATATGAAAATTGGAATACGATGTCGCAATCCTGTGCATACGTACATGGCCAAGAAAGAATAATGCACGCATTGTACCTATTGTAAATGTTTTCAGCATCATAATTGCGCCTGTCAAATAAACTGAGAAAGAATTTACATACTTCACAAGGATTACACCAAAAATGATTGAAAATAAGTAGAGTAAAATAATGGTCGTTGAAATTGATAAGAGAATTATAGTTTTTATTTCATTGTGTATTATAGACACTGCTTCTGCCTACAAGAATGAAGAAGACATCGGAAAAAGCTTGAAAACATTGTTACCAAAATATGGTCTTAAGAGATCTGACATATTCATAACTAGCAAGCTTGGTGAGTGTCGAAAATATTGTCAATGATCGAAATATTTCTCTCTCCATTGGGAAAGAAATGTACCCTGACGCGCTGGTCGCTTGTAGCACTTGTGATGTACATATTGCTGTTGGTGTGGCGATCTGAGAGACTGAGAATATTAAAATATTCAGAAATCAACCGAAAAAATAGGTGTATAATGTTTGTAAGTATTAGGACTATATAATGCGTTATTACTGTGGAGTGTACGGAATACAATCTCAGTATAATGGCTAACTCAGACCGCCACACCCGGACCAGTTTGAGATATTTTTTCAGCTTCACATTTTGTTGGTCTGTCTAGGACAATTTGTGATGTCGTGTTTTTTTCGTGATACAAAATTTTTCAGCAAGGCTTTTTCATTTTGCGAGCGGATGCAGATGTATGAAGTTTTGATATAGCGAATCAGTTGAATTATTTTTCTCCTATAGGCAATTTTCAATTTGCATGTTATGTCATAGCAAAACCGCTCTGCATTAAGTCAGTTTTTTGCAGTAATTGGTGAAGAGAGGACACGTATTCCTTAATAGACAAGACAGTAAGCGTAAATAATTGCAAGGATCTAGCTACAACAATAATCGTAAAACGGGAAGACGGTTTTTTACTTCTGTACGGTAACTGCTCGATGGAAATTCCAATCTGAAGACAGTTTGTTGTAACCATATTTTTATATTTGTTTAAAGCTCTAAATGATCAAGGTCTTGATACTGCGTACAGTGCGTGTTTACGAGCAATAGAAAACTTCGGATACGAATATTTAGATTTATATCTGATTCATTGGCCTGGAGCAGCGCAACTTAAACGCGAGGATCAATGTTGTAATCAATTAGAAGAATGGTGAAGTGAATATAAAATTTATTCGACCAAATTATCCAGCAAGATCCTGTGCATACGTACATGGCCAAGAAAGAATAATGCATGCATTGTACCTATTGTAAATGTTTTCAGCATCATAATTGCGCCTGTCAAATAAACTGAGAAAGAATTTACATACTTCACAAGGATTACACCAAAAATGATTGAAAATAAGTAGAGTAAAATAATGGTCGTTGAAATTGATAAGAGAATTATAGTTTTATTTCATTGTGTATTATAGACACTGCTTCTGCCTACAAGAATGAAGAAGACATCGGAAAAAGCTTGAAAACATTGTTACGAAAATATGGTCTTAAAAGATCTGACATATTCATAACTAGCAAGCTTGGTGAGTGTCGAAAATATTGTCAATGATCGAAATATTTCTCTCCATTGGGAAAGAAATGTACCCTGACGCGCTGGTCGCTTGTAGCACTTGTGATGTACATATTGCTGTCGGTGTGGCGATCTGAGAGACTGAGAATATTAAAATATTCAGAAATCAACCGAAAAAATAGGTGTATAATGTTTTAAAGTGGTTATATCACGAATTTTAGCCCCCCTTTTTTATGAGCTTAATTGAAAATTTGGATTATTTGAAGAACTATGACATGTCGCTGGACTTAAACAGATAAATATAAGTTGCTTAATTTTGCCTCCAAAATCGGGTACTATTTGCGAATTTTTTACGACGCCATATTGATACTTGTGACGTAGATAGTTGAACACGTCTGTTTCCGTCAATATAATATTATATTATAGAAGGTGATTTTGTTGTCGTTTTTCTTGTCTTAAAAACAAATAATGACAGTTTTTTCAATAAAATATTAAAAAACAAGTTTTCCGGAAAGTATGGCCTCAAATCAGTGCTCAGATAATTCGAATTCGATGTCTGAATGCGTATCTGATTGGAGCTCGGAATCCGTGGGTTATGTCGAGCATTTAAACGACTTCGCATATGACGATGAACCGCTAGCAGGAGATGGTGATGAAGTGCATACTCCAGATGATCCCGAATTCTCCCTGCGACATTAGAACAACGAAGTGATGGCGTAATTCCACTTGGTGAATGGTAAGTTGTTGTTTTCTCCTGTTTGTAATATACATAAAGTTACTTTATAAACCAGAATGCTCACACGTTTCAGGTGTAATTGTCAATGCTGTCATACCGATTTGTTAGAAGGCGCATTAGAGTACAGATGCTGTAAGGAAATTGGACCAGCTTTGCAGAAAATGACATTCGATGGCAGCATTGAGAAAATATCATGCATAACACAGCATGCCAAATTTGGGCCTTTAGTTCATGAGGCTGTCCTTGAAAACGTCGGGCCACTATTGAGAGATAGGAATGGACGTGCTTATCGCCGCCAAGCATCACAATCATTAAATATGTAAGATTGTAAATTGTATGAGAAACAATGTTATAATCAACATTGTTTCATCAACAATAATTAGTCCAACCTTTTTATTTACTTCAGGTACTTGAGAGCTGTGGCATACAGATGGTTGATGAGATGGTTTTGTGGGTCTATGGGATGGGAGAATACTCGGCCTTTACCTGCTTGTGTTTACCACTTTATTCGGAAAGCATATCCAAGTGGTAACACAACAGGTTACATACCATCAGAGGGGCAATGATGGAATAGTCTTGTGCACTGTAGAGACTGTTGACCTTCTTTGCTGAGTTTGGAATGGTCAGGAAATATGCCTAGATGAAAACCAAATAGGAGATACATGGATGCACTATATAAGTTGACATGCAGTTTAATGGTTTGAAACAAGAGTAAACAATAAAACAAATTGGTGCAACTACTGAGAGGTTAAGCTGAAAGAATTAAATGAAAGAATATCTTTTCTTCAATGTCAGTCTGGGAAAAAGACAAAAGAAAAATATATGGAATTAAATCATAGCATAAATGTAAAATGGAAAATAGCAAGCCGTTCAAATGGCGAATCATTTGCTTCCCAGTGCATACTTAAACATGCTCAGCTTCATCACTAGTAGATGGTACTTCCTCATTGAGAGAACATGTTTCCTTCAGCGATGGCTTATGGAGAGTATGTCGAATAATCTACAAAACTTATATCGAATTTACATATGACAAAAGAAAAATTAACATAAACAAGCGTAAACTTACTTGTCTTCGCTTTCGATCGGTTATTTCGTCCTGTAATGGTTCAGGAATCCCAGCCACGTCAATGGTTGGGAAAGCATCTTTCTTCAACCTTGTTTTGAGCTTGACTTACACGCTCAAATTTAGGTCAAAACAAGAATCTTCAAAATGCGCAGAACACAGACACGAGGTAGAGGAAGCCTCAAAACCCGGTCTATGTTTACGCACAAAATTTACCCATTTTCTATGTATTTGCGGCTCTGTTTCTTTTTTAGGAAACAGATGCATCGACATTCCTTCGGTTTTTGAATCATTGGCGCAACTAATTTGATTAGGTCCGCCAGCAACACAGCGTTTTCCTCCGCGTTTCTTATAAAGATTACTAGTAGAACACGCCATGTTGACATATGTGTTCAACTTTCTACGTCACAAGTCATTAGCATACCGATGAAAAAGTTCGCAAAAAAAATGCTGAAAGTCGTGACTTTGAACGTCCGTAAAATCACTTTCACCAATCCAATTTCAATTATAATTGCAGATTTAAAATCACTGAAACAAGGTCTTTCAATTTAGCTAATAAAAAAGGGGGGCTAAAATTCGTGATATAACCACTTTAAGTATTAGGACTATATAATGCGTTATTACTGTGAAGTGTACGGAATACAATCTCAGTATAATGGCTAACTCAGACCACCACACCCGGACCAGTTTGAGATATTTTTTCAGCTTCACATTTTGTTGGTCTGTCAAGGACAATTTGTGATGTCGTGTTTTTTTCGTGATACATAATTTTTCAGCAAGGCTTTTTCATTTTGCGAGCGGATGCAGATGTATGAAGTTTTGATATAGCGAATCAGTTGAATTATTTTTCTCCTATAGGCAATTTTCAATTTGCATGTTATGTCATAGCAAAACCGCTCTGCATTAAGTCAGTTTTTTGCAGTAATTGGTGAAGAGAGGACACGTATTCCTTAATAGACAAGACAGTAAGCGTAAATAATTGCAAGGATCTAGCTACAACAATAATCGTAAAACGGGAAGACGGTTTTTTACTTCTGTACGGTAACTGCTCGATGGAAATTCCAATCTGAAGACAGTTTGTTGTAACCATATTTTTATATTTGTTTAAAGCTCCAAAGGATCAAGGTCTTGATACTGCGTACAGTGCGTGTTTAAGAGCAATAGAAAACTTCGGATACGAATATTTAGATTTATATCTGATTCATTGGCCTGGAGCAGCGCAACTTAAACGCGAGGATCAATGTTGTAATCAATTAGAAGAATGGTGAAGTGAATATAAAATTTATTCGACCAAATTATCCAGCAAGATCCTGTGCATACGTACATGGCCAAGAAAGAATAATGCATGCATTGTACCTATTGTAAATGTTTTCAGCATCATAATTGCGCCTGTCAAATAAACTGAGAAAGAATTTACATACTTCACAAGGATTACACCAAAAATGATTGAAAATAAGTAGAGTAAAATAATGGTCGTTGAAATTGATAAGAGAATTATAGTTTTATTTCATTGTGTATTATAGACACTGCTTCTGCCTACAAGAATGAAGAAGACATCGGAAAAAGCTTGAAAACATTGTTACCAAAATATGGTCTTAAAAGATCTGACATATTCATAACTAGCAAGCTTGGTGAGTGTCGAAAATATTGTCAATGATCGAAATATTTCTCTCTGGGAAAGAAATGTACCCTGACGCGCTGGTCGCTTGTAGCACTTGTGATGTACATATTGCTGTCGGTGTGGCGATCTGAGAGACTGAGAATATTAAAATATTCAGAAATCAACCGAAAAATAGGTGTATAATGTTTGTAAGTATTAGGACTATATAATGCGTTATTACTGTGGAGTGTACGGAATACAATCTCAGTATAATGGCTAACTCAGACCGCCACACCCGGACCAGTTTGAGATATTTTTCAGCTTCACATTTTGTTGGTCTGTCTAGGACAATTTGTGATGTCGTGTTTTTCGTGATACAAAATTTTTCAGCAAGGCTTTTTCATTTTGCGAGCGGATGCAGATGTATGAAGTTTTGATATAGCGAATCAGTTGAATTATTTTTCTCCTATAGGCAATTTTCAATTTGCATGTTATGTCATAGCAAAACCGCTCTGCATTAAGTCTGTTTTTTGCAGTAATTGGTGAAGAGAGGACACGTATTCCTTAATAGACAAGACAGTAAGCGTAAATAATTGCAAGGATCTAGCTACAACAATAACTGTAAAACGGGAAGACGGTTTTTTACTTCTGTACGGTAACTGCTCGATGGAAATTCCAATCTGAAGACAGTTTGTTGTAACCATATTTTTATATTTGTTTAAAGCTCTAAATGATCAAGGTCTTGATACTGCGTACAGTGCGTGTTTACGAGCAATAGAAAACTTCGGATACGAATATTTAGATTTATATCTGATTCATTGGCCTGGAGCAGCGCAACTTAAACGCGAGGATCAATGTTGTAATCAATTAGAAGAATGGTGAAGTGAATATAAAATTTATTCGACCAAATTATCCAGCAAGATCCTGTGCATACGTACATGGCCAAGAAAGAATAATGCATGCATTGTACCTATTGTAAATGTTTTCTGCATCATAATTGCGCCTGTCAAATAAACTGAGAAAGAATTTACATACTTCACAAGGATTACACCAAAAATGATTGAAAATAAGTAGAGTAAAATAATGGTCGTTGAAATTGATAAGAGAATTATAGTTTTTATTTCATTGTGTATTATAGACACTGCTTCTGCCTACAAGAATGAAGAAGACATCGGAAAAAGCTTGAAAACATTGTTACCAAAATATGGTCTTAAAAGATCTGACATATTCATAACTAGCAAGCTTGGTGAGTGTCGAAAATATTGTCAATGATCGAAATATTTCTCTCTCCATTGGGAAAGAAATGTACCCTGACGCGCTGGTCGCTTGTAGCACTTGTGATGTACATATTGCTGTCGGTGTGGCGATCTGAGAGACTGAGAATATTAAAACATTCAGAAATCAACCGAAAAAATAGGTGTATAATGTTTGTAAGTATTAGGACTATATAATGCGTTATTACTGTGGAGTGTACGGAATACAATCTCAGTATAATGGCTAACTCAGACCGCCACACCCGGACCAGTTTGAGATATTTTTCAGCTTCACATTTTGTTGGTCTGTCTAGGACAATTTGTGATGTCGTGTTTTTTCGTGATACAAAATTTTTCAGCAAGGCTTTTCATTTTGCGAGCGGATGCAGATGTATGAAGTTTTGATATAGCGAATCAGTTGAATTATTTTTCTCCTATAGGCAATTTTCAATTTGCATGTTATGTCATAGCAAAACCGCTCTGCATTAAGTCTGTTTTTTGCAGTAATTGGTGAAGAGAGGACACGTATTCCTTAATAGACAAGACAGTAAGCGTAAATAATTGCAAGGATCTAGCTACAACAATAACTGTAAAACGGGAAGACGGTTTTTTACTTCTGTACGGTAACTGCTCGATGGAAATTCCAATCTGAAGACAGTTTGTTGTAACCATATTTTTATATTTGTTTAAAGCTCTAAATGATCAAGGTCTTGATACTGCGTACAGTGCGTGTTTACGAGCAATAGAAAACATCGGATACGAATATTTAGATTTATATCTGATTCATTGGCCTGGAGCAGCGCAACTTAAACGCGAGGATCAATGTTGTAATCAATTAGAAGAATGGTGAAGTGACTATAAAATTTATTCGACCAAATTATCCAGCAAGATCCTGTGCATACGTACATGGCCAAGAAAGAATAATGCATGCATTGTACCTATTGTAAATGTTTTCTGCATCATAATTGCGCCTGTCAAATAAACTGAGAAAGAATTTACATACTTCACAAGGATTACACCAGAAATGATTGAAATTAAGTAGAGTAAAATAATGGTCGTTGAAATTGATAAGAGAATTATAGTTTTTATTTCATTGTGTATTATAGACACTGCTTCTGCCTACAAGAATGAAGAAGACATCGGAAAAAGCTTGAAAACATTGTTACCAAAATATGGTCTTAAAAGATCTGACATATTCATAACTAGCAAGCTTGGTGAGTGTCGAAAATATTGTCAATGATCGAAATATTTCTCTCTCCATTGGGAAAGAAATGTACCCTGACGCGCTGGTCGCTTGTAGCACTTGTGATGTACATATTGCTGTCGGTGTGGCGATCTGAGAGACTGAGAATATTAAAACATTCAGAAATCAACCGAAAAAATAGGTGTATAATGTTTGTAAGTATTAGGACTATATAATGCGTTATTACTGTGGAGTGTACGGAATACAATCTCAGTATAATGGCTAACTCAGACCGCCACACCCGGACCAGTTTGAGATATTTTTCAGCTTCACATTTTGTTGGTCTGTCTAGGACAATTTGTGATGTCGTGTTTTTTTCGTGATACAAAATTTTTCAGCAAGGCTTTTTCATTTTGCGAGCGGATGCAGATGTATGAAGTTTTGATATAGCGAATCAGTTGAATTATTTTTCTCCTATAGGCAATTTTCAATTTGCATGTTATGTCATAGCAAAACCGCTCTGCATTAAGTCTGTTTTTTGCAGTAATTGGTGAAGAGAGGACACGTATTCCTTAATAGACAAGACAGTAAGCGTAAATAATTGCAAGGATCTAGCTACAACAATAACTGTAAAACGGGAAGACGGTTTTTTACTTCTGTACGGTAACTGCTCGATGGAAATTCCAATCTGAAGACAGTTTGTTGTAACCATATTTTTATATTTGTTTAAAGCTCTAAATGATCAAGGTCTTGATACTGCGTACAGTGCGTGTTTACGAGCAATAGAAAACATCGGATACGAATATTTAGATTTATATCTGATTCATTGGCCTGGAGCAGCGCAACTTAAACGCGAGGATCAATGTTGTAATCAATTAGAAGAATGGTGAAGTGAATATAAAATTTATTCGACCAAATTATCCAGCAAGATCCTGTGCATACGTACATGGCCAAGAAAGAATAATGCATGCATTGTACCTATTGTAAATGTTTTCTGCATCATAATTGCGCCTGTCAAATAAACTGAGAAAGAATTTACATACTTCACAAGGATTACACCAAAATGATTGAAAATAAGTAGAGTAAAATAATGGTCGTTGAAATTGATAAGAGAATTATAGTTTTATTTCATTGTGTATTATAGACACTGCTTCTGCCTACAAGAATGAAGAAGACATCGGAAAAAGCTTGAAAACATTGTTACCAAAATATGGTCTTAAAAGATCTGACATATTCATAACTAGCAAGCTTGGTGAGTGTCGAAAATATTGTCAATGATCGAAATATTTCTCTCTCATTGGGAAAGAAATGTACCCTGACGCGCTGGTCGCTTGTAGCACTTGTGATGTACATATTGCTGTCGGTGTGGCGATCTGAGAGACTGAGAATATTAAAACATTCAGAAATCAACCGAAAAATAGGTGTATAATGTTTGTAAGTATTAGGACTATATAATGCGTTATTACTGTGGAGTGTACGGAATACAATCTCAGTATAATGGCTAACTCAGACCGCCACACCCGGACCAGTTTGAGATATTTTTCAGCTTCACATTTTGTTGGTCTGTCTAGGACAATTTGTGATGTCGTGTTTTTTTCGTGATACAAAATTTTTCAGCAAGGCTTTTTCATTTTGCGAGCGGATGCAGATGTATGAAGTTTTGATATAGCGAATCAGTTGAATTATTTTTCTCCTATAGGCAATTTTCAATTTGCATGTTATGTCATAGCAAAACCGCTCTGCATTAAGTCTGTTTTTTGCAGTAATTGGTGAAGAGAGGACACGTATTCCTTAATAGACAAGACAGTAAGCGTAAATAATTGCAAGGATCTAGCTACAACAATAACTGTAAAACGGGAAGACGGTTTTTTACTTCTGTACGGTAACTGCTCGATGGAAATTCCAATCTGAAGACAGTTTGTTGTAACCATATTTTTATATTTGTTTAAAGCTCTAAATGATCAAGGTCTTGATACTGCGTACAGTGCGTGTTTACGAGCAATAGAAAACATCGGATACGAATATTTAGATTTATATCTGATTCATTGGCCTGGAGCAGCGCAACTTAAACGCGAGGATCAATGTTGTAATCAATTAGAAGAATGGTGAAGTGAATATAAAATTTATTCGACCAAATTATCCAGCAAGATCCTGTGCATACGTACATGGCCAAGAAAGAATAATGCATGCATTGTACCTATTGTAAATGTTTTCTGCATCATAATTGCGCCTGTCAAATAAACTGAGAAAGAATTTACATACTTCACAAGGATTACACCAAAATGATTGAAAATAAGTAGAGTAAAATAATGGTCGTTGAAATTGATAAGAGAATTATAGTTTTTATTTCATTGTGTATTATAGACACTGCTTCTGCCTACAAGAATGAAGAAGACATCGGAAAAAGCTTGAAAACATTGTTACCAAAATATGGTCTTAAAAGATCTGACATATTCATAACTAGCAAGCTTGGTGAGTGTCGAAAATATTGTCAATGATCGAAATATTTCTCTCTCCATTGGGAAAGAAATGTACCCTGACGCGCTGGTCGCTTGTAGCACTTGTGATGTACATATTGCTGTCGGTGTGGCGATCTGAGAGACTGAGAATATTAAAACATTCAGAAATCAACCGAAAAAATAGGTGTATAATGTTTGTAAGTATTAGGACTATATAATGCGTTATTACTGTGGAGTGTACGGAATACAATCTCAGTATAATGGCTAACTCAGACCGCCACACCCGGACCAGTTTGAGATATTTTTCACCTTCACATTTTGTTGGTCTGTCTAGGACAATTTGTGATGTCGTGTTTTTCGTGATACAAAATTTTTCAGCAAGGCTTTTCATTTTGCGAGCGGATGCAGATGTATGAAGTTTTGATATAGCGAATCAGTTGAATTATTTTTCTCCTATAGGCAATTTTCAATTTGCATGTTATGTCATAGCAAAACCGCTCTGCATTAAGTCTGTTTTTTGCAGTAATTGGCGAAGAGAGGACACGTATTCCTAATAGACAAGACAGTAAGCGTAAATAATTGCAAGGATCTAGCTACAACAATAACTGTAAAACGGGAAGACGGTTTTTTACTTCTGTACGGTAACTGCTCGATGGAAATTCCAATCTGAAGACAGTTTGTTGTAACCATATTTTATATTTGTTTAAAGCTCTAAATGATCAAGGTCTTGATACTGCGTACAGTGCGTGTTTACGAGCAATAGAAAACATCGGATACGAATATTTAGATTTATATCTGATTCATTGGCCTGGAGCAGCGCAACTTAAACGCGAGGATCAATGTTGTAATCAATTAGAAGAATGGTGAAGTGAATATAAAATTTATTCGACCAAATTATCCAGCAAGATCCTGTGCATACGTACATGGCCAAGAAAGAATAATGCATGCATTGTACCTATTGTAAATGTTTTCAGCATCATAATTGCGCCTGTCAAATAAACTGAGAAAGAATTTACATACTTCACAAGGATTACACCAAAAATGATTGAAAATAAGTAGAGTAAAATAATGGTCGTTGAAATTGATAAGAGAATTATAGTTTTTATTTCATTGTGTATTATAGACACTGCTTCTGCCTACAAGAATGAAGAAGACATCGGAAAAAGCTTGAAAACATTGTTACCAAAATATGGTCTTAAAAGATCTGACATATTCATAACTAGCAAGCTTGGTGAGTGTCGAAAATATTGTCAATGATCGAAATATTTCTCTCTCCATTGGGAAAGAAATGTACCCTGACGCGCTGGTCGCTTGTAGCACTTGTGATGTACATATTGCTGTCGGTGTGGCGATCTGAGAGACTGAGAATATTAAAATATTCAGAAATCAACCGAAAAAATAGGTGTATAATGTTTTAAGTATTAGGACTATATAATGCGTTATTACTGTGAAGTGTACGGAATACAATCTCAGTATAATGGCTAACTCAGACCGCCACACCCGGACCAGTTTGAGATATTTTTTCAGCTTCACATTTTGTTGGTCTGTCAAGGACAATTTGTGATGTCGTGTTTTTCGTGATACATAATTTTTCAGCAAGGCTTTTCATTTTGCGAGCGGATGCAGATGTATGAAGTTTTGATATAGCGAATCAGTTGAATTATTTTTCTCCTATAGGCAATTTTCAATTTGCATGTTATGTCATAGCAAAACCGCTCTGCATAAGTCAGTTTTTTGCAGTAATTGGTGAAGAGAGGACACGTATTCCTTAATAGACAAGACAGTAAGCGTAAATAATTGCAAGGATCTAGCTACAACAATAACTGTAAAACGGGAAGACGGTTTTTTACTTCTGTACGGTAACTGCTCGATGGAAATTCCAATCTGAAGACAGTTTGTTGTAACCATATTTTATATTTGTTTAAAGCTCTAAAGGATCAAGGTCTTGATACTGCGTACAGTGCGTGTTTAAGAGCAATAGAAAACTTCGGATACGAATATTTAGATTTATATCTGATTCATTGGCCTGGAGCAGCGCAACTTAAACGCGAGGATCAATGTTGTAATCAATTAGAAGAATGGTGAAGTGAATATAAAATTTATTCGACCAAATTATCCAGCAAGATCCTGTGCATACGTACATGGCCAAGAAAGAATAATGCATGCATTGTACCTATTGTAAATGTTTTCAGCATCATAATTGCGCCTGTCAAATAAACTGAGAAAGAATTTACATACTTCACAAGGATTACACCAAAAATGATTGAAAATAAGTAGAGTAAAATAATGGTCGTTGAAATTGATAAGAGAATTATAGTTTTATTTCATTGTGTATTATAGACACTGCTTCTGCCTACAAGAATGAAGAAGACATCGGAAAAAGCTTGAAAACATTGTTACAAAATATGGTCTTAAAAGATCTGACATATTCATAACTAGCAAGCTTGGTGAGTGTCGAAAATATTGTCAATGATCGAAATATTTCTCTCTCCATTGGGAAAGAAATGTACCCTGACGCGCTGGTCGCTTGTAGCACTTGTGATGTACATATTGCTGTCGGTGTGGCGATCTGAGAGACTGAGAATATTAAAATATTCAGAAATCAACCGAAAAAATAGGTGTATAATGTTTGTAAGTATTAGGACTATATAATGCGTTATTACTGTGGAGTGTACGGAATACAATCTCAGTATAATGGCTAACTCAGACCGCCACACCCGGACCAGTTTGAGATATTTTTTCAGCTTCACATTTTGTTGGTCTGTCTAGGACAATTTGTGATGTCGTGTTTTTTTCGTGATACAAAATTTTTCAGCAAGGCTTTTTCATTTTGCGAGCGGATACAGATGTATGAAGTTTTGATATAGCGAATCAGTTGAATTATTTTTCTCCTATAGGCAATTTTCAATTTGCGTGTTATGTCATAGCAAAACCGCTCTGCATTAAGTCTGTTTTTTGCAGTAATTGGCGAAGAGAGGACACGTATTCCTAATAGACAAGACAGTAAGCGTAAATAATTGCAAGGATCTAGCTACAACAATAACTGTAAAACGGGAAGACGGTTTTTTACTTCTGTACGGTAACTGCTCGATGGAAATTCTAATCTGAAGACAGTTTGTTGTAAGCATATTTATATAATTGTTTAAAGCTCTAAATGATCAAGGTCTTGATACTGCGTACAGTGCGTGTTTACGAGCAATAGAAAACTTCGGATACGAATATTTAGATTTATATCTGATTCATTGGCCTGGAGCAGCGCAACTTAAACGCGAGGATCAATGTTGTAATCAATTAGAAGAATGGTGAAGTGAATATAAAATTTATTCGACCAAATTATCCAGCAAGATCCTGTGCATACGTACATGGCCAAGAAAGAATAATGCATGCATTGTACCTATTGTAAATGTTTTCAGCATCATAATTGCGCCTGTCAAATAAACTGAGAAAGAATTTACATACTTCACAAGGATTACACCAAAAATGATTGAAAATAAGTAGAGTAAAATAATGGTCGTTGAAATTGATAAGAGAATTATAGTTTTATTTCATTGTGTATTATAGACACTGCTTCTGCCTACAAGAATGAAGAAGACATCGGAAAAAGCTTGAAAACATTGTTACCAAAATATGGTCTTAAAAGATCTGACATATTCATAACTAGCAAGCTTGGTGAGTGTCGAAAATATTGTCAATGATCGAAATATTTCTCTCTCCATTGGGAAAGAAATGTACCCTGACGCACTGGTCGCTTGTAGCACTTGTGATGTACATATTGCTGTCGGTGTGGCGATCTGAGAGACTGAGAATATTAAAATATTCAGAAATCAACCGAAAAAATAGGTGTATAATGTTTTAAGTATTAGGACTATATAATGCGTTATTACTGTGAAGTGTACGGAATACAATCTCAGTATAATGGCTAACTCAGACCGCCACACCCGGACCAGTTTGAGATATTTTTTCAGCTTCACATTTTGTTGGTCTGTCAAGGACAATTTGTGATGTCGTGTTTTTTTCGTGATACATAATTTTTCAGCAAGGCTTTTTCATTTTGCGAGCGGATGCAGATGTATGAAGTTTTGATATAGCGAATCAGTTGAATTATTTTTCTCCTATAGGCAATTTTCAATTTGCATGTTATGTCATAGCAAAACCGCTCTGCATTAAGTCAGTTTTTTGCAGTAATTGGTGAAGAGAGGACACGTATTCCTTAATAGACAAGACAGTAAGCGTAAATAATTGCAAGGATCTAGCTACAACAATAACTGTAAAACGGGAAGACGGTTTTTTACTTCTGTACGGTAACTGCTCGATGGAAATTCCAATCTGAAGACAGTTTGTTGTAACCATATTTTTATATTTGTTTAAAGCTCCAAAGGATCAAGGTCTTGATACTGCGTACAGTGCGTGTTTAAGAGCAATAGAAAACTTCAGATACGAATATTTAGATTTATATCTGATTCATTGGCCTGGAGCAGCGCAACTTAAACGCGAGGATCAATGTTGTAATCAATTAGAAGAATGGTGAAGTGAATATAAAATTTATTCGACCAAATTATCCAGCAAGATCCTGTGCATACGTACATGGCCAAGAAAGAATAATGCATGCATTGTACCTATTGTAAATGTTTTCAGCATCATAATTGCGCCTGTCAAATAAACTGAAAAAGAATTTACATACTTCACAAGGATTACACCAAAAATGATTGAAAATAAGTAGAGTAAAATAATGGTCGTTGAAATTGATAAGAGAATTATAGTTTTTATTTCATTGTGTATTATAGACACTGCTTCTGCCTACAAGAATGAAGAAGACATCGGAAAAAGCTTGAAAACATTGTTACCAAAATATGGTCTTAAAAGATCTGACATATTCATAACTAGCAAGCTTGGTGAGTGTCGAAAATATTGTCAATGATCGAAATATTTCTCTCTCCATTGGGAGAGAAATGTACCCTGACGCGCTGGTCGCTTGTAGCACTTGTGATGTACATATTGCTGTCGGTGTGGCGATCTGAGAGACAGAGAATATTAAAATATTCAGAAATCAACCGAAAAAATAGGTGTATAATGTTTGTAAGTATTAGGACTATATAATGCGTTATTACTGTGGAGTGTACGGAATACAATCTCAGTATAATGGCTAACTCAGACCGCCACACCCGGACCAGTTTGAGATATTTTTTCAGCTTCACATTTTGTTGGTCTGTCTAGGACAATTTGTGATGTCGTGTTTTTTTCGTGATACAAAATTTTTCAGCAAGGCTTTTTCATTTTGCGAGCGGATGCAGATGTATGAAGTTTTGATATAGCGAATCAGTTGAATTATTTTTCTCCTATAGGCAATTTTCAATTTGCGTGTTATGTCATAGCAAAACCGCTCTGCATTAAGTCTGTTTTTTGCAGTAATTGGCGAAGAGAGGACACGTATTCCTAATAGACAAGACAGTAAGCGTAAATAATTGCAAGGATCTAGCTACAACAATAACTGTAAAACGGGAAGACGGTTTTTTACTTCTGTACGGTAACTGCTCGATGGAAATTCCAATCTGAAGACAGTTTGTTGTAACCATATTTTTATATTTGTTTAAAGCTCTAAATGATCAAGGTCTTGATACGGCGTACAGTGCGTGTTTATGAGCAATAGAAAACTTCGGATACGAATATCTAGATTTATATCTGATTCATTGGCCTGGAGCAGCGCAACTTAAACGCGAGGATCAATGTTGTAATCAATTAGAAGAATGGTGAAGTGAATATAAAATTTATTCGACCAAATTATCCAGCAAGATCCTGTGCATACGTACATGGCCAAGAAAGAATAATGCATGCATTGTACCTATTGTAAATGTTTTCAGCATCATAATTGCGCCTGTCAAATAAAATGAGAAATAATTTACATACTTCACAAGGATTACACCAAAAATGATTGAAAATAAGTAGAGTAAAATAATGGTCGTTGAAATTGATAAGAGAATTATAGTTTTTATTTCATTGTGTATTATAGACACTGCTTCTGCCTACAAGAATGAAGAAGACATCGGAAAAAGCTTGAAAACATTGTTACGAAAATATGGTCTTAAAAGATCTGACATATTCATAACTAGCAAGCTTGGTGAGTGTCGAAAATATTGTCAATGATCGAAATATTTCTCTCTCCATTGGGAAAGAAATGTACCCTGACGCGCTGGTCGCTTGTAGCACTTGTGATGTACATATTGCTGTCGGTGTGGCGATCTGAGAGACTGAGAATATTAAAATATTCAGAAATCAACCGAAAAAATAGGTGTATAATGTTTTAAAGTGGTTATATCACGAATTTTAGCCCCCCTTTTTTATGAGCTTAATTGAAAATTTGGATTATTTGAAGAACTATGACATGTCGCTGGACTTAAACAGATAAATATAAGTTGCTTAATTTTGCCTCCAAAGTCGGGTACTATTTGCGAATTTTTTACGACGCCATATTGATACTTGTGACGTAGATAGTTGAACACGTCTGTTTCCGTCAATATAATATTATATTATAGAAGGTGATTTTGTTGTCGTTTTTCTTGTCTTAAAAACAAATAATGACAGTTTTTTCAATAAAATATTAAAAAACAAGTTTTCCGGAAAGTATGGCCTCAAATCAGTGCTCAGATAATTCGAATTCGATGTCTGAATGCGTATCTGATTGGAGCTCGGAATCCGTGGGTTATGTCGAGCATTTAAACGACTTCGCATATGACGATGAACCGCTAGCAGGAGATGGTGATGAAGTGCATACTCCAGATGATCCCGAATTCTCCCTGCGACATTAGAACAACGAAGTGATGGCGTAATTCCACTTGGTGAATGGTAAGTTGTTGTTTTCTCCTGTTTGTAATATACATAAAGTTACTTTATAAACCAGAATGCTCACACGTTTCAGGTGTAATTGTCAATGCTGTCATACCGATTTGTTAGAAGGCGCATTAGAGTACAGATGCTGTAAGGAAATTGGACCAGCTTTGCAGAAAATGACATTCGATGGCAGCATTGAGAAAATATCATGCATAACACAGCATGCCAAATTTGGGCCTTTAGTTCATGAGGCTGTCCTTGAAAACGTCGGGCCACTATTGAGAGATAGGAATGGACGTGCTTATCGCCGCCAAGCATCACAATCATTAAATATGTAAGATTGTAAATTGTATGAGAAACAATGTTATAATCAACATTGTTTCATCAACAATAATTAGTCCAACCTTTTTATTTACTTCAGGTACTTGAGAGCTGTGGCATACAGATGGTTGATGAGATGGTTTTGTGGGTCTATGGGATGGGAGAATACTCGGCCTTTACCTGCTTGTGTTTACCACTTTATTCGGAAAGCATATCCAAGTGGTAACACAACAGGTTACATACCATCAGAGGGGCAATGATGGAATAGTCTTGTGCACTGTAGAGACTGTTGACCTTCTTTGCTGAGTTTGGAATGGTCAGGAAATATGCCTAGATGAAAACCAAATAGGAGATACATGGATGCACTATATAAGTTGACATGCAGTTTAATGGTTTGAAACAAGAGTAAACAATAAAAACAAATTGGTGCAGCTACTGAGAGGTTAAGCTGAAAGAATTAAATGAAAGAATATCTTTTCATCAATGTCAGTCTGGGAAAAAAGACAAAAGAAAAATATATGGAATTAAATCATAGCATAAATGTAAAAATGGAAAATAGCAAGCCGTTCAAATGGCAAATCGTTTGCTTCCCCAGTGCATACTTAAACATGCTCAGCTTCATAACTAGTAGATGGTACTTCCTCATTGAGAGAACATGTTTCATTCAGCGATGGCTTATGGAGCGTATGTCGAATAATCTACAAAACTTATATCGAATTTACATATGACAAAAGAAAAATTAACATAAACAAGCGTAAACTTACTTGTCTTCGCTTTCGATCAGTTATTTCGTCCTGTAATGGTTCAGGAATCCCAGCCACGTCAATGGTTGGGAAAGCATCTTTCTTCAACCTTGTTTTGAGCTTGACTTACACGCTCAAATTTAGGTCAAAACAAGAATCTTCAAAATGCGCAGAACACAGACACGAGGTGAGGAAGCCTCAAAGCCCGGTCTATGTTTACGCACAAAATTTACCATTTTCTATGTATTTGCGGCTCTGTTTCTTTTTAGGAAACAGATGCATCGACATTCCTTCGGTTTTTGAATCATTGGCGCAACTAATTTGATTAGGTCCGCCAGCAACACAGCGTTTTCCTCCGCGTTTCTTATAAAGATTACTAGTAGAACACGCCATGTTGACATATGTGTTCAACTTTCTACGTCACAAGTCATTAGCATACCGATGAAAAAGTTCGCAAAAAAAATGCTGAAAGTCGTGACTTTGAACGTCCGTAAAATCACTTTCACCAATCCAATTTCAATTATAATTGCAGATTTAAAATCACTGAAACAAGGTCTTTCAATTTAGCTAATAAAAAAGGGGGGCTAAAATTCGTGATATAACCACTTTAAGTATTAGGACTATATAATGCGTTATTACTGTGAAGTGTACGGAATACAATCTCAGTATAATGGCTAACTCAGACCACCACACCCGGACCAGTTTGAGATATTTTTTCAGCTTCACATTTTGTTGGTCTGTCAAGGACAATTTGTGATGTCGTGTTTTTTTCGTGATACATAATTTTTCAGCAAGGCTTTTTCATTTTGCGAGCGGATGCAGATGTATGAAGTTTTGATATAGCGATCAGTTGAATTATTTTTCTCCTATAGGCAATTTTCAATTTGCATGTTATGTCATAGCAAAACCGCTCTGCATTAAGTCAGTTTTTTGCAGTAATTGGTGAAGAGAGGACACGTATTCCTTAATAGACAAGACAGTAAGCGTAAATAATTGCAAGGATCTAGCTTCAACAATAATCGTAAAACAGGAAGACGGTTTTACTTCTGTACGGTAACTGCTCGATGGAAATTCCAATCTGAAGACAGTTTGTTGTAACCATATTTTTATATTTGTTTAAAGCTCCAAAGATCAAGGTCTTGATACTGCGTACAGTGCGTGTTTAAGAGCAATAGAAAACTTCGGATACGAATATTTAGATTTATATCTGATTCATTGGCCTGGAGCAGCGCAACTTAAACGCGAGGATCAATGTTGTAATCAATTAGAAGAATGGTGAAGTGAATATAAAATTTATTCGACCAAATTATCCAGCAAGATCCTGTGCATACGTACATGGCCAAGAAAGAATAATGCATGCATTGTACCTATTGTAAATTTTTTCTGTATCATAATTGCGCCTGTCAAATAAACTGAGAAAGAATTTACATACTTCACAAGGATTACACCAAAAATGATTGAAAATAAGTAGAGTAAAATAATGGTCGTTGAAATTGATAAGAGAATTATAGTTTTTATTTCATTGTGTATTATAGACACTGCTTCTGCCTACAAGAATGAAGAAGACATCGGAAAAAGCTTGAAAACATTGTTACCAATCCATTAAGTAAAAATTACCTTTAAGCATTTACTTTACCATTAAGTTCATTTTTCGATACTCCTAATAACTCTTTTCACATTGTAGTTGGAAAGAAATGCTTTCGTACAAGCTCTATCCAGGTTCACTTTACTTACTGCGACCAGTGGAACGCATATTCATGAAATGAAAACGAAGAACATGGAGACGATCAAGACACTTCTTACCATCGCTCAAACGGATGGTAATTACATCAGGAAGTCTTGGCTCGAGGTAGAGAATCATCTTGCTATATATTATGGTTGGTGTCTACGACTGAAAATATGATCGATTGTTTTTCATCAAAGGAAAAAGTCTAGTCTTGTCTGTAGTCTTATCTTCACGATATTGCTACAGTCTTTACCTTTCATTTTTCCAAGTGCTTTGTTGACCGTATTTCATACCCTTCATCAGAGAATCGTATCACAAATGTACATCTGTAATAAATATACATAAGAAAATGAAGTTTTTTCTCAAAATATTTTTTGTTTGAAGATATTTTCTACGTATGTATTTAACGTTTATGTTCGTCTTGTTGAACACTCGTTTTCGTTGCTCAAATGCTCGTTCCGCTCGGCGCATATTTTTACGTTTCCCTAAAGTCATTGTTTTCATTCTAGATACTGAAATGCATTTCCCAACTTGAATTGGCTCAACTTATCGGTACTGGTGTGAAAACGCGATACCTTCACACGGCGTCCAGCGGTGTTACTAATTCACCCACAGCATTCATCGCAAACAACAAGACATCTTATGATATAACCTCAGGTTGCTTATAACATTGTTGTGACGCTCATAAATGTCAAATACTAACGTTGGGTGCTTTTCTTTGTTTGTATTTAAATGAAGGTCGGATGCCTGTTACCGCTGACTCGAAAAAAAAGCGGCTGGCTCACAGGAAGCCATTTGGGAGACCGCTGCACAAAGTGTTGTCGTTGCAGTTGACAGGTAACGTTTACTTTAATGATAGCTATGTGGATTGTCTTTTGTGACCTATCTCCCACCCCAGGGGCGAAGCTAGAACGTTAATGCAGGGGGAGAGGTGAATATTCATATATATGGTCATACATTCCGCTGTGACCAACTAATTTCTTTTCAAATTAAAATAGCTTTTAAACCAAATCAGTCAAGCAAAACTAAATATTTACCCCTCCCATCCAGCGTTCTTGCTTCTTCCCTTCCTCCCTGCCAGAAATCTTTAAAATTGTCTTTAAGGTAGAGTTGGGCTTGTAACAGCAAGAAATGTTGATGGATGATTCTCTATGTAGACATGTTCATTGTCCGTGTTAGCAGAGTCCTGAGAAGGACTGTTATTGTTATTGTTGACTGACGTTTTGACATCCTTAGCGGTAGTCATCTTCAGGCTTAAGTGAACCAGAGAACCTTGAATATAAACATGAAAATAAATTTTAAAGAACTCCTGCACTGTCTTTGCGTTATGTTCTCTCAGCAGAATATCTTCATCTCAACTTCTTCATTGTGTTTTATTACGTTTAGAGTTTTCACGGGATCAGTGAAACTGGATGGTGATGCTATCGGTAGGTTTGCATGTATACATTAAAATGCATCTTACATAAGATTTTTATACATCTAACTTGACCATAGGTCACTGACCATTCTTTATCCCAAGTACCCAAATCTCCAATACCCGAAATCCCAAGTACCCAAATTTCTAGTATCCAAATTCCCTGTTCCCAAATACCAAATCCCAAGTATCCAAATCCCAAGTATCCCAAATCCCCAGTATCCCAAATCCCCAGTATGCAAATCCCCAGTTCTCAAATCCCAAGTATCGTTATCTCCTGTATCCAAATCTCAAAATGTTTTCGTTTTTCTCCTAAGTCTATTTCGTGGAATGTTTACGTCAAGTCTCGGAAGTTCAGCTTTCCAATCCTACAATGATACGTATGTTTAGTCTGCAGAAGATCGTAGAGATTGCTTATTACAATATTGTTCGTATTCGGCTGCAATGGTCACGAATATGGGCTGTGTTGGGAGATCATTATAACAAGGTTAGCAATTATTAACGACTAAGATTGTATCTTGATATTATGGTTAATAACATCACGTTGTTATGATGTACTCAGGTATAGTAACAAGATAATCATTGTCTTCAATGTTCTATGAACTACACTATCAGATCAATTGTGAACTATGATGATATTTTAAAACACAGTTCTAGTTTCTTTCATATCTCAAGTATAAAAACAATATAATCAATGCCTTCATCTCCAATGTTCTACCAACTATAGTACTTCTCCATCTTAGATAATTCATGTGTCATTTTAATGTGGTTGTAACTCTAATAAAGAAGTTGCGTTCTTCTTTGCGACAATTATCCATGAAGTTCTTGGAAAAGGGGGAATTGCCAAATTTCCGATTTCAAAAGGATTTTCTCCGACCCTTCGAACACATAATGAAGAAAAACAGGTAAGTTTATGCAGGAGTCAATTCTGTCAGAAAATGTAAATTTTCTTGCAGCTTGAAAATCTTTCTCTCAAATAAACAAAATTTGTGGCAGACTTTGTAGATTCTTTTCCAAGTTATAATTTTACGACGAATTTTACAAAGGACGTCTTTCGATCAATCGCTCTGTCTTGTCTCTTATAATTGGAAGGATTTGATTAAAATTCTTTCTTCGATATCTTTATGAACTTGGCAACAAGGACTGCAATTTTCAGTCTACGATTTGCTTGAATCAACAACTGGATTTTTCACATTTTCGTTCTTCCACAATTCGAGATATGGTCGTACGATGTGTCACACAAATGGTTCATTTGCAAGCCACAAACATCAAATCTGGTTGGAAAAATGTTTTCTCCGTTTTTCATTTGGCTACGTCCGATCATGATGAAGGAATCGTGGAACTCGCTTTTCAAACAACAGGTTTGTAGTTTAAGGAAGGAGATTTTTCTTCTAATCTTACCGCCGACCTGTCTGTTGTTCTCTTGGGTGAGGTTCTTGTATCGGTGCAAATTTTAAAATATTAAAATAAAAATGATTGCATATGTTTGAAGAAATGATGGTGAATCCGTTTCCAAGCATGAACGACTTAGACATCTGTAAAATATTGAATTAAATTCAAATTGAATTTGAATATCGCTTAAGTGAATGTGTTTCTCGGATGTGATGGAGAACTTCGTTTATTTTTCAACAAGAATTTTATGTGTTCGTTCTTTTCCATGGTAATTCAGCCATATTCGTATAAGTTTTCAAGGTAAACTTTTATTTACCATAAAGTCGATGGATTATCTTCTCATGATTCATGAATGATAATTAAACGAGAGTTAATGGAGAAATGAAATAAATGTATGAAGCAGTTTTTAGTTGATGCAAATTACGAGTCAAAAGGCAGAGTTTTTTAAACTTTTCTAGCCTTGTTTCTCTACTGTTTCAACGTCACTTGTAAATCAAAGCTTTGACAGATTCATTTATCCCACAAGATTATCGGTGTATAAATTTCACATCCCCATTTTCTCTTTCAGCCACGATTTTTGAGAAATATTTCTCCGCGACCATCGACTCTTTCCAAGATGCCGTCAAGTGTCTCTCGGAATTCGCATGCAACGCAAGTTTCCCGGACACGAGTATGGAACATTGAGCTCTATAAGACCTGGAGGGGAAACGTCAACAAAATTACTATAAATTATCAGCGCGCGGCCGCGTGGTCAAAAACATGGCGGATTTTGGTTGTCAAAGTCAGCGGAAAGACGCGGGCTCATAAAATGAAATTTTTCGCCCACCCGGATTTGACAACCACAATAGCGATTATATAAAATATCAATGCCAAACACAAAAACTTTTAGAAATTTTATCTTTAAAACATGTTGCAAACTTGTTTGGTAGACGGATGCTGAAGTAATGCCAGAAAAGGAAACATTTCATGATACCGGTAAGCAACGTAAGATTGTTTACCATTTAAAGTGTTCAGTGTTTTGTTTTAAGTCAATACTTGAAGTGTGATTGCATATATTTTGTGAATGTTTTACTCCTAAGTTATAATTTAAGTTATGTTTATCCATTCTTATTTGTTCTTTACTTAATCGCTTGCTAGACGAGGCAAAGCAACCAGTTCTTATCGAGATATGCATATCTTAAAACTCCTTGTTTCAACTGAGTTGAAATGGAGGATTTTTCATGATATTTTTCTGAAAATATGAAGCAAATATTAAGGACAGAGCTGTATTGAAATCAAATGCAGTGCAAGATTAATTAATGAGCTCTTTGGTACATGTCGTACAATAAAAATACCTGTATTAAACAGCTAGCCTGGACAATTTGACAGATTATGGACAATCATGATGATGGTGTGTAATGGTTTGCTTTATGCTAAAAGTTTTATAAATGCCATCTGGTGTTTCTGTAAATGAATTGTTTGTTACACAGTGTAGTAAACAGGTTAGTACATCAAAATCAAGATAAAACTACTTTGTTCAATAATGTGCCAAATTTTGCTCCTACCTTGAAATATTTGCTCAAGAAAAGCTTATCATGACATGCATGAAACATTAAATACAGTACTGCATCATCTGACAAAGTCCATATGTTTTCAATTCCAGGTGATTAAAATTCACATAAGATGCATTGGTTGCAATGAAGTTGAATGTGGAAGAAGCAAAATTGATGACAAAGAACTTTTATGTCTTTTGAAGAATTACGATATCATTTAAAAGAATAAGAGTAGCAATCTAGTCAAAGAAGCCACATCTGCCTTCAACATGAGACTTTTCAATTATGTATAGTTATTTTGTACAAAATACTATTTTAGATAAACTTGATTTTTAAGTCATTTACTGATATTTTTACCAAAAGACAAAAAGAAAAATTCAAGGCATAATGTAAAATTCAAAATTTGTCAAGTTGTTTGAACCTAGAAAAATTAGTATAGGTAACTGTAATTTGTAAGGACACAAGAGAAAAGTAGTGCAAGAAGGTTAGCATTTTTGAGAATTAATAAGTTCTTGACATACATTACACAAGGCCATAATATTATAAATAATGTCTGTATAATAACAATTATACAACATGCTAAATATCTTCACCTACATTATAATTATTTAAACAGGTTTGCCTTCATGCAGCAATAAGAAAAGTGTTATGTCAGAGAAACCAATGCACTTTAATTTAAAAAATCGTATTTTCAATGGGAAATTAATGTAGTTCTGTTCAATAGTAGATCCATGGTTGTCAATGACAATCCAGTTACTAATATCTTGGCTCAAAACAGAACCAGCAACATGATTATAGAATTTTTGAATTTTGTTCTTTTGCTCTCCTAGTTCGAGATATTTTCTTCATAAGTTCTCAGTAGATTTATCAGAATATCATAATACCTTATAAGACACCCAGAATCAATCCTACCAAAAAAAACTCAAAAAAAAATACATACCTACTTATAATATATTTCCAGTCGACTTAAGTCGTAGGGGTAAGCTAACTTTTTCTAACTCCTTTTTGGACATTTTAACTAATATTTACTCATCTATTCAAGAAAGACAGTTGCACGAAGCTGTTAAAAAATAGTCAAAAACACAAGTATTGCGCATGGGATTATGCATTAAAGCTTAACGACACATTGACAGTGTAAAGAATGCCGTTTGATATTTATTTCTAACATAGCTAAAGCATTACTTGACAACATATACGCTATTATATTTGATTTACCTCATTTAAATGTGTGTGTCTATTTCACAAAAATCTGAAGCATTATTTTCAATATTTTATGCTTACGGTATCGTGGTTGTTTTCGCTGGTTGTCATTGATATAAGCAGTAATAGAGTTCCGGATTCGGGAGGGAGCGAATGTTAAAAATTTTTCTCAAAGTGGAAGTTTTGACAACCAAAATCCGCCATTACCGCCATGTTTTTGACCACGGGGTCCAGGCCCCTTTGCCCCTCCAGTTCTTATAGAGCTCAATGGTATGGAAGCAATAAGACTGATACGAAATTGCGCCAAATTTCTTTCCGAAAATCCTGTAGTACGACAATTGCAAATCTACTTTCTTTTCACCTTTGAAATTTATTTAAAATTTTGCAAAATCACATCAAAGCTAACCACTTTGGATCAAATCAAATCCTAATTATCTATTTCAATCGCTTTTTCATGTAGCATTTTTCAATGGCGTCTGTTTTCTTTTCTTTTATAAACAGATATTTAAAGACTACGGAGTAGAGAATGCTGGGATATCAGAGCAGGACAGAATCTGTGTGAAAGGCTGGTTTCCAGTCCTTTGAGCTTTCGTGTATCATCAACCGATGTAAACTAGATGTCAGAACAAGGTATGGTGGAAATATTGAGTTGTTTGTACTGTATAGATTAGTATGCATTGTATAATTTGAATGTGAGCTATTTTCCATCCATCAACTAGAGGCCTAACCGTGATGTTTGAAATCATGAAAACATACGGGAACACGTTTCTCCAACATTGGTGGCGTGATGTGCTTAAAGTCTTGTTTCGAATTTTCGACAACATGAAACTACCAGACAGACAGATAGATTGGCAGGAGGTTAGAAAACTGTCATTATTTTGCTCTTATTATATGGTAAGCGTCACTTCCGGCTAAATGGCGCGCTTTGATTGGCTGAGAAACATTTTTCCGGTCCATTATTCTCCCGTAATCGACCACGTTTCAAAACGCGTAGTTTATAATATGTCGTTATTTTGGTCTTATTGTCTATGATTGCCATAAGCACACATTATATCGCAAAAAGTCAACTTACATACATGACTATCCAGTTCCACATGGAATAATATTCATTTCATGTGTTCATGTCTATCCATCTTCATTCCTCAATCATTCATCCATTTCAATTGTGTATCCACTCCATTGAACTAAAATACATGGAACGCTACCTGTGATAGAAAACCGTAGTAATTTTTTGAAGCCAAATTTTACACCCAGACACGCGGGTGTAGTTCAATCAATTTTCACTGCGCGAGAGAACTCAAAACACTAAACACGCGTGTGTCTGGATGTAAGATTTGGCTTCAATTATTAAGCTCAATTAACATTCTTACTAAACATTATAGATAAACATTATAGAGAGTATGTGTAACATTTGTGAAATTTCGATCATATTTAAAACGTTTCTATTGATTTATTTCTTGATGAGAAATTCCCCTTCCTGAGATTGCTGTTCAACAGTATGAAAGAAGTGGGGGTCAAATAAAAAGTTTTGGTAATTTTGGAACTGATCCCTTACTGGAATTTCAACATCTTCAAATAATCAGAGACAAAGAATTCAAAAGCCGAAACCCTAGTTTTGCTACGATATTTAATGAAATTGTAAATAGTAAGCCAAATTCCTTTTTTAATGCTGTAATTAGTTTTATTAACATTACAACACACCTTTCCCCTTCAACATAAAAAATAATTATGAAAGAAATATACATAATCAACTGTTACTTTTATTTCATGGCATTAGTGCATGGCTATATCAGACAACATGGTTTTGAGTTTGTTCCGAATACATAATTTACTCATTATTGTCTCCTGCGAGTTCTCAAAGACTGGTAAGGAATTCATCTATGCCAACCAATCGAAATGTGTGTGAGTAACCCCGGTCAGCTCTGCAGTTAGGACAGCATTTGTCAAAGACATTACTACCAGTCCCATACCACAGTTGCACACAGTTCTTTAAAGCCATAGGAACTGTGTTCTCTTTGCTAAATTTCGGAACTTTTGAAAGTTCTGCGTTGTTTTCCTTGAGCACTTTTTGTATTTCATTCAATTTATTCGAAATTTGAAGCGCACCAATGGATTTTCGTTTCTTTTTCATACACTGCTGATAATCTTCACTGTCCTGCTCCTCTGAATCAGAACTGTGAATAATTTTTGCTTTGCTTCTCCTTTTTCTTTCTGGTTTCTTCACAGCATATATTTTTCTTGAACCAGTCTTCCAAAAGGCAGTGCCTTAAACAAAAATTTGTCATAATCTATTGACTATGTGATTACTTTGTAAAGTTGATAATCTTCATGAATTTGGAATTCATGATGAACATTTCAGTATGTATCATATCGCTTTTGCAAACTACAAGTAACATGACAATATTTGAGAATTTTACCTGTTGTTCCTGGCTCATCAATATATTGAAAGCCACCATTCGATACCAACATCAAGTTGTTCTCGTTGAAGTTAGTTTCGGCCATTGCCAGCAAGTGTGCAACATTCGCATCCTCTTCTCGATGTATTGGTATAAACGTTTGCTTGGGGCTGGAAGAATTGATGGCGGGCTTTCCAGTCGGTGAAAGATCGGCGAAAAGCACTTTCACCGTTGCTTTCGGTTTTACGCTGTTCCTCTGGCTTGCATTGCTGCAAAATCCAGATCTTCCTCCCGTTTTCGATGCGTTTAAAGCCCATGGCCTACTAGCGATAGTCGAGAAAGAGTTGGTCGCGAAGGGGGAAGCACCGAGGATAGCACGCGAACCTGGACCGTTTTCTTCACCCGCAACTTCGAAGCTTGTTCCATCATCGAATCCAACAAAGTTAAATTTTCTGCTGTCGTTTGGAAACTCCAGACGCGTCCCAAATTCTTCCTTGATGGAAATTGTGCTTGGGATGAACTGCAAATATAAGTTGAAAGTTCTTGACTTACATGATATTACATCAAGTTATTTTGTTACATTTGTAATACATACGTTAAAATATCGTCCTAATCGTTCTGCTGTTACAGTGGACTTTCTCATATTCACTTCTTTCTCGTTACAAATGAAATTGTACGATGGATCCATTGTGTAAATTGCGCTATCTGCCATTAAGGTTTCCCAGTTGACACACGTTGACGAATCTTGGAGCAATGTCAATGCAGAGTAGTGGGTGAATGAAATTTGCCGGTTGTGGAAAGGCAATGCCTTTACTGACGTGACAGGGAGACATACGGTAGCAAAGTACTTCCCGTTGCACCACTCACACATACTAATCAAAACGAACAATGGAGTCAACTTCCTACAATCAGCATAAGTAGGAAATGATAATTTAATTAAGTGAAATCAAGAAACTTTTGCAAAGAAGCAGGAAGCTAACACGTTGTTGCTCTTGATCAAGGCGTTTGGGAGGTCAAGGTTCACGTCCTTTGCTATATGTCTTTGTTACTTAACTCTTATTGTTACTCTGGGTGGTAGAAAAATGAAATATTTGGAATTTTATTTTAGAAAAAGTGTTGTATCATTAGTGTATTATAATTTTCCATTGCAATTCTCTAAACATATGATATTCATTTGGTTATTTTCGACATGCGGTGAATGTCATGTGCAGAACAAAAGCGTCGCACACTCATTTCGCTTAGACCTCGAACGCCAGGGTTTGCTCGTCGCAGTTCCTTGCTTATTTGCTTGTGCGTCAGCTTTTTTCTCACGACTAGATCTCTGACTGCCTCGACACTTACTATCTCATCCATGACTTTCGCGAAAAAATGTAGCACCGAACGACTTAGACGACAGCCAAAATGTGCTCAGATATTTTATATCGATCATAATATCGTCATAAAATAAAGTTCTCAAATGACCGAACGCTGTAGACTTTGACTCCCCCACCCCCGTTCGGCCATAGGAAGTCTATGCACAAAGCAATGTCGCATTAAACTTATAGCAAAAGTTGATGGATTTCAGAATGCGTAAATTGGTAATTCATAGGTATATTTCAACAACTCAAAATCAAATTTTTAAAGTGGATTTTACTTTTATATTAATCAAATGAAAATTGAATTCGCAAAAAAATGTGAATTCAATTTTTGAAAATTGAATTCAGGATGTGAAGTTAATTAAATATTTGTATTTGTGAATTTAAATTTTGAATGAACGAAACGCCCACGGACCCCCGACGTACTAATCAAAAGCTGTATTCATGTTTATATTCCGGCGTTTCTCACTAAAAGAGGACCTAATGAATGTTGTTTGTAAACTACCTAAAAAATTGAGAAGTGTAGCGTATATTTAAAAGAATACTATTGTGCTATAATTTATTTAAATAAAATCTGTTATCTTCAACAAAAACTTAACTGCATGGCGTCAAATTTGCCTAGAGTTTATTAATACCCGAAACTATCTTTATTATCATTTCTTTCTTTATAAATTGACTTAGTTTACTGTAAGTGTACACAAATATCTGTGTTACAGAACCTGTGGTAGGCCGTACTAATCAAAGGCTGTATTCACGTTTATATTCCGCCGTTTTAGAGACAAAATGTAGCATACATGTATTACTTCATTTACATTATATTTCTTTAGTTTTGTACTATATTTCGTACTGTGGTCTGTATGGACTATTATAATTTATCTCATATTATAAGATTGTCATTGTAGATATAAGTAACTAAAAAACAAGAAATATTTTAAAGGATGTTATATAATCTCATCGGACACTTTTCCATTCTGTGAACACTTTGTAAAAACATGATGGCATATCTCACTAAAAATATTAATTAAAAAACTTTGTAGCAAGTTTTAAGGTGGAGAGCAGACGATTCTTTTACCAGAATGCATGGAATACAAGCCCTGTTGTACAAATTTCCTTGCTGTAGTATGATAGAGTGGATCTTAAAAATTATCAAATGTATTATACAAAGTTTTTCAATTGCATAAAGTCATAATACAAACAGGAAGTCACTTATGCTGAAAAATTTCAAGTATGTGTCACTTTTGTTTACTCTAGACGTATCTTTCTGCGTTATGTCAAATTGTTTGTTATGGCATTACCATGACAACTGCATGTAGAATCTGGTGCTTGCAAATTTTGGTGCTTTTGGTCACCTATATTAGAAACTGGTAATTTGATAAGCAGCAGAAAAAGCCTTCATGCTAACAAACAATTTTTAAACTTGAAATAAAAAGACCAAAAACAGGAGTGATTTGAAAAAGGAAAGTCTAAGACTTTAATAAAATCGTTGTCATTTTATAAGATATCAGCCGATTTAAAGCTCCGCAAATTCAGCGATGATTACAAAGAAAAAATGTAAAGATTTGTTTTACAAGCAAGGTGTCATTATCGGTTTAATATATCACTAATATCAGCAATATAAACAATGATAAAATGACACAATTTCTTTGATTAAGTGGTGTATAAACTATCCACTGGAAACGAATTTGGTATTTGGTTAAGGTGTGTGCAGTACAGATGATAAAATCTGCTACTTTCAATTAGCGTAGAGAAAAACTGTTCTGGAAATGATTTAGCAAATGTCTAAAATTTGAGAAACATTTCATATGATACTGTAACAATACAAAGCCTCGTAGACAATTCTTTTTAAAAAGATATCTCATATTTATATAGAATTCTATGCTGCTCTAATATATCTTGGAGACTATGTCTCTGTATAATTGAACTTTATGTTAAAATAATAAATACATAAAATAAATGTGAATTCATTGTTTTGTTTATTAAAAATTACTTAAAGTGAACAAACGAAACGTTATGAGTTTAGAAAGAAAATTTGTAGCTTACAGAAAAGCACATAATGTACTTTGCTTCATTGCTGCCTAATTTGACATTAAAATCAAAATGTGTTCTTTATCAGTAGCTGAAGATACAGTAGCATTTAGAAGCCAATGATTGTCTAAAGCATTTTACAGGTATAGGCTTGCCGCTTAAATGAGGAAGTGGAGAAGTAGCAAACTAAAAATATGTCGGCAAGTGTGAAATGACGAGAGTTGAAGATAACAAGTCAAGAGTAAGAGTAAAGTGATGAGGGTCGATGATATTAAATAAAGTATTAGGGTAAAGTGACGACGTTTGAGGATAATACGTCAAGAATGTGGGTAAAATGACCAAGGTTAAGGATAACACGTCAAGAGTGTAGGAAAATGACGAGGGTTGAGGGTAGTGCGTTAAGTGAACGACAATTGAATTTTGTAAATTTTAGCTATGTATAGCTAGTAGATAATACCACTTAACTTTTCCACACATCTTCATGATATTAAGAAGTTCAGTCAATCTTACCCTTTTATCTCACTAGATATAACACTATCAACGACATAAGTTGGCAGAATGTGACATATAACAAGAAAAACAGCTTGTATTATAAAAAATTTAATTTTAAAAGAAGTCAGTCTGACACAGCTGCTTCAAACAACTTCTGCCTTTTCGACGTTTACTTTAAAGCATGACTCTAAGCATTTTGTTCGTTTTTACACGTTAACTTTTACAATTTACTTTCTCATAACCCTCTCGTTAGGAACAAGTGCCTCCTTATACAATATAACGCTCTTATCATGAACGAAAGCATTCATGGGCACATGGAAAACGGGAAGTATCTAATTTTTATAATAGTTTCTACAAAGATAACATTTAATAATTCAAGCAATTTGTATCGTCTAAATTAAACCTCGCTTTTAACCCTTATGTTATAAAATTTCGATTCATTTTGGATAGTGGATTTCTTTTTACCTTATGATATTTTCATGATTCAATCAAGAAAGTAACTTCTCTTCCCGAGTAATTTTGCGATTAAACAACACACTTTTCGGATTCAAAGGAATTCTTTTGATGGAAAGCATAGAGACAGACTTCCAATTTATTACGTACCTAAGCGTACATAAAGCATTTCCAAATCACGTACAAAATTACTTTCACATGACCAAATTACCGTCTATTTGAAGGATGCATGTAATAAAAAGTTGCCGCGACAACTGAAGCAAAACCTCCTTTTTTCAAGCAATCATGCGTCCTTTTTTCTCTTGTGTCATGCTTGAGTTTGTTTTACTGTTGGAAGTTCATTTTCAAGTACTTCTTCTACCTCAATCCATGAATTCTAAAATCTGTCAGAAAAATATTAGAGCATTGTTTAAGCACTAAATATGCAGATACAAAGTTATGGATGAAAATAAAAACATCTCTAACATTGTCATAGGGATACTACGAGTGGCGTGACAAAGTGTTGATGCGATTCTAAACTGTATATGCGATTCATGAAGCATATTCCAACGTAATAGTCATCTGGAAAACTCATGCATTAGAGCTCTTGGTATTTATAGAAACATACATGAAAACGTAGTTCTACGACTGGTGATATTCTGACTCCATTTCAAAACCTACATTTCATACAGTGTTTGCAGTGCACAGTGTTTAAGACTAAATTGAGTAAAAGTTGTTAAAATAAACATGACATTTTCTTTGCCAACGTTAAAATTGTCAAACAAGAAAATTTGTTATCAACTTTAAATTGTTTCAGTTCTTTGTGTCATAGCGTGGTCTCGTAGAAACATATAAATGTAAACCTATCTTCGTTCACTAAATAATTTCATTAACTTACGCTCTAGGCACTTTTTGATGTTAAACCTGTACAATCTAGGTTTATAAAATTGCAAAATGCTATACATATTTGGCGCAAAATTAAAACCATAATTATATAATTTTTAATCGGTTAGAACAACAATCCCAGTGCAAAAGCATTCAGGTAAAGTATAAACGTGTCTGAATTGTGTAGACCAAAACGGTGGCCTTGTAAAAACGATTCTTGCTATCCAAACTTGAAGAATAATGTGAAAATAGTGATTCAGTTCATTTGTAATGTATTGACTCAATGCAAGTGGTAAATGTAGCTGTCTTTTCGCATATTAATTTTGATGCCACGCACACAGTATGAATCAGCACAAACATTTCTCTGACGAGCGCGAAGTTTTTACCACGCGGTAAACGAAAATTCCAACTAAAAGTGTTTCTTATTGGCGAAGTGGTGGTTGTTGTAACATAGATAATATTTTTGGTTTTACTCAATTCAAAATGATAAAAGTTCTATAAAAATGAAAAATGGTAATTTTCTATAGCGGTGACATTTGTTCAGAATAAGTTACGCCAATGACAGAAAGAACAACGTAAATGACTTTTGTAACTAATGCTTCTAACACATGTTTCATTTTTCTAGACGATAGTGCCATTCAAGTGAGTCTGCTCGTTTTACACAATAAGTTTTTGAAAGATTTTGTCTATCGTAAAGATGTGTGAAAAACAGTTTGCTAGCTAAGAGCGCTTTAGAGAAATTGAACATAAGAAAATAAAACTTGTTTAGTAGGGCGAACTGATTTTTATCCTTTCACCAAACGAACATCACATATAGTGCAGGAATTATTGGGAAAATCAAATATTGTATTAATTTAACATTAAACAAGAAAGTATAGATTGTTGTAAAACATACCATTTGATTTGAACAAACGTTTGCTTTCTCTATATATTGCTATTCTTGCAGCCGTCTGACGTCTTTCTTCATCCGTATTCTTACATAAATTGCACTTGCAATGTTTATAAACACAGTTTTGTTTATGTCCTTTAACATTTACGAATATTTCGTGATTTCGGCATTTCCTACATTTGGGAGGACTCCTTCTCTTGATTCTGAGGTCTTTCTTATGGACTGATTTGCTCTGACTCTTTGGCATTTTTTGTAATAAAACCTTGACAAGCCTCTTGCGCGTCACGATGAAGAATGACCACAAACGAACAAATCAAAACTAATGTAGGATATGCAAATAGCATAATTACGATGACGTATGGCGTCAATAATCCCCATTCAATGCTAATGACATTGTCTATATCCCCAAAATTAGCATATTCTTCATGATAAAATTAATGCTGTTTGTTGTGTCAAATTACTTACACCATGACAGAACAGAAAACTAAACCACTCTATCACCAGGTGAGAGGAGAATAATCAGAAGATCTTAAAGATAACATTGGTGATATAAAGAAAATGGCTTTTATATATGAAACACTTTTCCACTAACTAGAATGACTTTGTGACACCCCATGCCTTCTTTAATGACTAAACTAAAACTGCACTCTATTCAAAAGTAAGAATTGTAATGGATAAATCATACTCGGCTCAAATTCAGTCTTGCACAGGTGGTAAGTCGTTGCTAAAAATGGAAAGTAAAAAGGAAATTATTTATATTAATGAGCGTAACATGGTTCCGTTTAATGGATGATATATTCAAAAATAATATATTCAAAATCATCGACACTGCCGACACCTTAAAATCAAAGAAGCACTCCACATTAACAAAACTAACCCTGAACTTGATGTTCAAGTTTTTAAATTCAATACGATATTTAGTTTATAATACGCTCGGACGCTCCCCAATAATTTATCTTATTTCCTTTTTATTGTTGCAATTATGTATCACATTACTTTTATATAAACCTTGTATCATTTATTATTTCTCTTATACTGAAGATGGCATCATGAGATAATGAAACATGTCTATCTTAAAAAAACTTGTGTGTATATTAAATGCGGATGATATATTGTTAATCTGCCATGCGTGCGCTTGAATAGTATACAAATGACAAGTACTATATCACAATTTGTTGCTTGAGTGTCTCAGAAACAAGTTTGTTCTTAAAGCTGAATGTAGCTAAATATTATATATCAAATTGATTAATTTTATTTCGGTGTTTTTGGTGTTTTTTATAGCTTAAGCAGAATCATAATCTGTTGTTCCGGTTTTGCGTGGAAATAGTTACAAAAGACATCACACCTCTCTTTTTTCTTGCTATTTTCTGTTCAAGGCAAGTTGAAATATTTTCTTATTCGCGCTTTTTGTCTTGGAGGAAATGTTTGATGGCTCATATCCACTAAAAGAGACCTAATGAATGTTGTTCATAGATTAAATACCTAAAAACTTCAGAAGTGTAGCGTATATTTAAGGAATACAATTGTACAATAATTTATTTGAATAAAATTTGTTATCTTCAACATAAACTTAGCTGTATGGCCTCTATATTTGCCTAGAAAGTATCTTCATTATTTTTTCTTTCTTTATAAAATGAATTATTTTACTATAGGTGTACTCAAATATTTGCATTACAGAACCTGTGGTAGGACGTACTAAACTACTAATCAAAAGCTGTATTCACGTTTATATTCCGGCGTTTTAGAGACAAAATGTAGCATACATGTTTACTTCATTTACATTAAATTTCCTTAGTTTTGTACTATATTTCGTACTGTGGTCTTTACGGACTATTATAATTTATCGCATATTATATGATTGTTATCATAGATACAAGAAACTAAAAAGCACGAAATCTTTTAAAGGATCTTATATAATCTCATTGGAAACTTTTCCGTTCTGTGAACACTTTGTAAAAACATGATGGCATATCTCACTGAAATATTAATTAAAAAACTTTGTAGCAAGTTTTAAGGTGGAGAGCAGACGATTCTTTTGCTTGCATGCGTGGAATACAAGCCCTGTTGTACAAATTTCTTTGCTGTAGTATAATAGAGTGGATCTTAAAATTATCAAATGTATTAAACAAAGTAATACGATTGCATAAAGTTTTCATACAAACAGGAAGTCATTTATACTGAAAAATTTCAAGTATTTGTTACTTTTGTTTACTCTGCACGTATCTTTCTGCGTTATATCAGTTTGTTATTTATAACATTGCGATGACAACTGCATGTACAATCTGGTGCTTGCAAATTTTGGTGCTTTTGGTCACCTACATTAGAAACTGGTAATTTGATAAAGCAGCAGAAAAACCCTTCATGCTAACAAACCATTTTTGAACTGGAAATAAAAAGACCAAAAACATGAGTTATTAATAGTATAAAACAAATTCTGAAGAAGCAAGACATCTTAAGATTGCAAAATATGCATCAAAACAAGACGAGAAGTGAACTGTAAATTTTCGACTTTATTTCAATACTATCCTCAGACAGAATGATTGAAAAAGTAATGTCCAAGACTCTAATAAAGTCTTTGTCATTTTATAAGATATCAGCCCATTTAAAGTTCTGCAAAATTAGCGCTGATTACAAAGAAAAAAATGTAGAAATTTGTTTTATGAGCAAGGTGTCATTATCGGCTTCATATATGAACAATACAAACAATGATAAAATGGCATAATTTCTTTAACAAAGTTGTGCAAGCTATCCACAGGAAACGTACTTGGTATTTGGTGATGGAAATGATTTAACAAATGTCTGAAATTTGAGAAACATTTGATATGATACTGTTACAATACAAAGCTTCGTAGGCAATTCTTTTTAAAAAGATATCTCATATTTATATAGAATTCTATACTGCTCTAATGTATTCTTAAGACTATACCTCTGTATAACTGAACTTTATGGTAAATTAAAAGATACATAAATATATATGAAATGATTGTTTTGCTTATTGAAAATTATTTAAAGTAAAACAAAAAAAACGTTATGAGATTAGAAACAAAACTTGGAGCTTGCATAAAAACACATAATGTATTTCGCCTTAATGCTGCCTAATTTGACATTTAAATCAAATTGTGTTCTTTATCAGTAGCTGAAGATATGGTAGCACTTAGCAACCAAAGATTGTCTAAAGCATTTTATAGGTACAGGCTTACCGCATAATTGAAGATGTGGAGAATTCCCGCTGAACATACAAAACACCTTGTAATCGATGTTTTTATTCTATATTTTGGCCAAGCATAATATTTTTTAGACAAGCATGTATTCGAGGCATTGGCAAAATGACTTATATTTACATCAAAGATTTATTTTTTTACATTTCTTGTATCATATTGGCGGTAGCAACCTAACAATATGTCGGCAAGTGTGAAATAACAAGGGTTGAGGATAAAAAGTCAAGAGTAAGAGTAAAGTGACGAGGTCGATGATAATACATTAAGAGTGAGGGTAAAAAGACAAGGGTTGAGTATAATACGTCAAGAATGTAGGTAAAATGACGAGGGTCCAGGGTAATATCACAGTAGTAAAGCTGTCGTCAATATATCGTCTTTGTAGCGTTAATACGTTAGAAGACATGCGCACGCTCAGTGCTATCTCCTAAAGTATTAAAGCTACAAAGATGATTTTTAGCTCATCTTAAAAGTTAATTGACATTAGATTTGTGACTGTATTTACAAGCATATAGACATAGAGCAGATCTTCAAAATATATGTGACTAACATATAAAATAATAGTAACTATAAAATCATTAAATACACTTAAAATACCAATTTCATAAATAAGAACAGACAAGGTAATGTATACATTAAATTTCTTCTTTAAATATGCTCTGGCGATTGAGATTTTTCATCAGAACCATGCATAATCAATATCTGAACATTGAATGTTGCTATAAGACAACAAAGTACAATAGGTCCGACAATAGCTCCTTCTAAACCAAGGCAATGTTAAATTAACATGAAATTAGTCACAATCTTTTACTATATTTGATAAGGCAACATTAAATCTTTCATATTCTCAGCATTTATAGGCGTGTACATACTACATATACAAAATCTTTCTCATTATGTACAGGTTTCAGCAATATTATGTATTATCAGTGCGAGTAAATGAATTATTTGTAGTTAGTATGAGTAATTTACGTATATTCAATGTACTGTCATTTCATGTGTGGTCTACTTTTCATATGTTTGTATATTTGTAACTTCACAATTATCTCTACTGTCAGTAAATAACTAATCAAATGAAAATATTATGTATGGCTTACAACACTTGTAATCTAACTCATTTACTCGCACTGATAAATGATAGATATAATTAAGATTGCCAAAACGTGCGTAATAAAAAGTTTGCATTTTACGTTCAGTTTGCCAAAATCATGTTGCAGTGAACGATAGTTGAATTTTTTAAATTATAGCTATGTATAGCTACTTGACAACACCACTTAACTTTTCACACATCTTCATGAAATTAAGAAGTTCAGTTAAACTTACCCTTTTATCTCACTATATATAACAGTATCAACGACATAAGTCGGGAGAATGTGACATATCACAAGAAGAACAGCTTGTATTCCTGCGTTGTCAATAAGCCATAGTTCTAAGACAGCTGGAACAGCGGCCCAATAAGATGCAACAAACGGTACGACCCCGGTTACGGCTGCAATCGGTAAATACAAGAAAGACATACATATATAGAAAATATTTGGTAAGGACCATAGGTTGTATGTAAGAAAACTTAGAAGAAAGAATGTCGAATGAAGTTAAATTATATAAATCTATCACTCAATTGAACCTTTTTACTATTTATTATAGATAATTTAGCAAAACATTTTTTTCTGTAACTGAAATTTTTGCAGTTCATAAAGCTATACTTTTCTAAGCGTGTTGTGTACCATGAAATATTAGAATTTCAATTACCCGAAGGAATAAAAACAATTTTCACTCCAAATAAAGTGTGAGTAAGCCAGGTATACAAGCCATAAAATGCAGCCATTTTTAACGAAGCACCAAATACACCCCTGAAACAGTTAATAGAAAACGTTAATCGCACATTCAGGGATAAAACTTGGCATTGAGACTGGGTTTTCACAAATCCTTGCATTGCTGAAAGATAAAATGGCCGAGAATTAAAGAATTAGCTATAAATAATAAATAGCATTTTCGCAGTATAATACTTAATAGCATTTCTTCAATTAATAAATGTGAATATGGGAGACAAGAGTTTTATTCCAGTCAGAGCACTAAATTACAAGAGAGGTTATTTATGCGTAAGCGACGATTTTAAATACTAAACTTTGTAAAAAAATAAATTTTGTGTGCAAAAAAATATACGTCATTAATAAAGGTTTTTTTCTCTAGCATATTTTCGGAAAAATCTCTTTGACTGACTGGTTTATTTGCAAGATAGCGTTTGTAACGACTAAGGATCCAAGGATAGTGCAAAGTTAAAAAAAATACTTCATTTTTAATCGTTATTTGAATCAACCATAGAATGTTTTATTCATTTATTTCAGTTCTTCATTAAATACAACTTCATTTTAGTTCAAGATTAACATCTATTAAATACAACTTCATTTTAGTTCAAGATTAACATCTATTTTCTTCATGACAAAAAAACTATTAAAAACTATCAAAAGTTTATAGTCGAAACAACCATTGTTGTTGTCGTGTCTTTGACGGTTTTTACGTGTGACTAATTTCTTTTTCTTACAAGGTGTAATGTCTATCACTATGTCATTAAAAAAGCTGATACTTTGTCGAGGTGACAAATATACATATGTCCTCGAAGAGTGCAATCACCATGATGTATGGGCAAAAGTCATAGAGTTTCCAACAGTTCTGAAAAGCAATATAATTCCACGAGTGCTATTAGTTTCTATCAGTTTTGAGAAGTTTTGGGAACTCTATAATTTTCGGCCATTTACGATGGCAAGTACACTCCAAGCAATATTTAGGCTGTGCGTTTCCTTCTTTCCTACTTTTACGTATGAATGAAGCATGCCAGGCCAAAAACGGTCATCAACAGTTTGAAAATACATTTGTCGAAACAATCTGAAAGACTGACAACATGCTAATAATATATGACAGACAACTTGTACAGTCCACTCCGTAAACTAACGGAGCTCATAACAATGCACTGATCTATATGAATTCTTTATATAACACTTTTGGAAAAGAATTGAGTGTTCCGAAGTAAGATCCTTTACACAACCGACATTCAAATGTTACAAAATTTACAATTAAGACAATGATTTCTCAAAATTTTTGTCATTTTGGAAAAATGCTTAAATAACTTTATAAATAGGACAACTAAAACAGCCTAAATAACTCTCGATCCATTGACTAACTACATTAAAATACGACGAACACAAATTTCATCATCCATAAAGTTTAGACATTTGAATTTTTGCCACTAATTACACTAAAAAACCAATTCATAATGGCGCAACTTCATGACATAGGAACAATGTTTCCTTATAATATAACATATAAGAACTGAGTAACAATTGATTAGATTGTTTGAGTAAAATGTATGAAATAGAAACAGACTTCTAGCTACCTTATTGCCGTATAAATAATCTCTCCAAATAGCGTTGCTTCATCACCAGACACCGTGCTAACCCAATGCACTGGTAAATATTGATCATGAGAAAAACTTAGAAGATAAAACAACGTTGTCAAAAAGACAATCTGAAATAAAGGTAAATATTGATCATGAAAAACTTAGAAGATAAAACAACGTTGTCAAAAAGACAATCTGAAATAAAGGTAAATATTGATCGAAAAACTTAGAGATAAAACAACGTTGTCAAAAGACAATCTGAAATAAAGGTAAATATTGATCATGAGAAAACTTAGAAGATAAAACAACGTTGTCAAAAAGACAATCTGAAACAAATAAAAACATACAACTATTTATTATTTATTTTTTTATTAAAAATATGCTATTAATAAAAGGTGAAATAACGCTACTTTAATTAAAACATAGATTATTAACAGCCAGTACTTTTAACTACTGGAACATGCAACTTCACACTCAGGTTTCGAAACCAAAGTGTTTATCGACATATCAGTTTCAAAGCAAAGAACAATGGTAAAAAACAAATTACGCAAGTTACAACAGATTTTCACTGGACATCTTTTGATGCATGTGTTTTGTATCTCGTCAAGTACATAAATATATGCAAGTTTATTGTTTTAAATATCATTTAAATATGAAACTATTTTGTAGAAGCTTTCCATGCGGCATCTCGTTATACGTGTACAGTATATATGTCTATCAAATAGTCATTATGCAACATCACAGTTATGTTATGTAGGTGTTATTTGAGGATTGAGAGCAAGATTTTAATATTTCAAAATTATTGGAGGTGGGGTGAAGGTGGGGGCACTACGTGTTTTCGAAATGTAAAATGTCTTAAAACCAACTTACTGTGGAGAAACCAGCATTGAGAAGGTATGTGCCACTTGAAAATACTACAGATAACAAGACAGTGATGATATTGAAAGCCAAATTCATGTTACTTTTAAAGATTAACCAAACTGATTCCAAAACCTATGAAGAAACGAAAGCATAAAGAACACAAGCAACGAGAACCTTTTCTCAATATTGACATACAGAGTTGATTTGATATACGATTTCAGAAACTTCAGCTTATTTCATATTACGGCTTACTTTGCAGTCTATACTGCCTCGATTTTATACCCAAATTTTTTAAAGCGCTGCAAAGCATGTACTTTCGTTCAACATGATTTTATAAAGTTGAAGCATAAATTTGGATGACCAAACATATGCCTCTAAACACGTCCAAGAAAACATCAAACATTACATCATGAAGCGTTTCTAGTCAATTTTTTAATATACTTTACTTATATTAAAGTCTGCACAGTGTTAGAATTTCGATACGAACAAATGCAGTAGCAGCATGGTTGCAGAATTTATTACAATACAAACTAATTTTATGATAATAGTGACATTTCAGCTCGTTTATTTAGACCTTCCGTGCTCATTTCTTTCTACCCAAGCACTCACTGTGAAAACAAAAGATTTTAGAATTGAATTGAATATTAATAAGGCGTAAATTCTTTGTCGCTATGATGTCGTAAACAATTGATTCAGTTCAATGTTACATACATTAGAGAAAATTCGTAAATTTTTGAAAACACATGGTGACTATGAGTTTAAAATGTGCAATTTGTGTAAATAGGTTATTGTTAGAAAAATATAGAAAATTTCATATCTTAATCAGATATGTAAATTTTTAGGCAAACTACCATATATCTCTTTAGAATTCTTTTCCAGTAAATGAATGGCAAATTATTTTCATTAACTGACTAAGAAATTAGGCTTCCCTTGACACTAAATTAAAGTAATTGGAAAATCACACGTTAAGCAGAAATTTTTGGTTGTTTTGGAGTAAATCTGAGCAAAAAAAAACAAGTACATAGAAATTAAATAAACTTTTTCCAAAACATCAATAAAACGCTACATTATCATTCTAGCAACGATAAAATACTATTCATCATTCATGCAATAGACTGAAAGAATATTTGAGCCAATGTGAGCAATATTAAGCTACAATACTTTCATAATTCTTTTACGTAAGTCATGTGATTGCCCAATGACAGAAGATGACATAAAAACTTACAGACATCAAAACATCAATATTTTCTTTGACAACATTTAACACAGTCCAGATATCAATCTTCTGCTTTACAGCCAGTGTGTTATAGATACCCCGTAAGGACAAACCAAATGGGACAGCTCGTTTAAGCGCAACGGTCGAGTTGGATTTCGTTGTTATCGTCATTTTTTCCGATCGAGATTCGGAGCCAGAACTATTCTAAAAAGGAAATTTTTTATAAAAAAGGGTTTAAAAGAAAAAATGAAAATGATGATGTAAAATTTACAGTTACTCAAAATGCAAATTACTACAGGGAAAAAAGATTGACGTAACATAGAAATCTCTACGTAACAAAACAGAAAACCGCTGTGCACAAATTATAAGGATGCATAACTAGCCTCTTTCTCGGGTAACTCTTTCCAACTTTGATAAAGACGGTCAGTTAATTCAAGTATGTGTTTCCTTAACTGCGAATTATTTCTTTGGGTCGTCCCACCAATATTTTCAACCTTAAAATAAAAGATTTAACGGAGTCAAAATTTCATTTTATATTGCGGAGAGTCTTGCGAAATCCAGAAGCAAACAAACAATTTTGCTGTGATCTTCCTATTTTAAACGATATAAAAAAGAGTGATGAAACAATGCTCAAATGAATTAGTTGTTACATACTAGAATTACGGGTGACTATAGAAATATTTGCCTAGCAGAAATAAACAAAAGGGCTCGCTGTGCATAAATAAGATTAGGTATACTTTATTCGCCAGCCAATCACGACCATGAAAAAACATTTGATCTACAGCCTTGTCAATGATAAGGTGAAAGTCTTGGTTTTCAGGAGCCCATTGCCTAGAGAAGATTTAATAATGATTAAAGGAACATTTATAGTAATTGATATACGTACACGTTTTTTTATGCTAAAATACTAAGAAAAAAACAGAAGTCTTCAAAATTGCCTTCAAAGGAGTTCACCAAGAATAACTGCGTGAGACTTACTGGGACAAGATATTTAATTTTTCTTTCATGAATGCCAAAACCCTCAAAAAGTTGCTCTATATTTTATGCAATACGGAACGACAACGGTAAATATTCAACTGGCCAGGCTTTCTACAACCAGAGTAAACAATCACAATTTTTTATAATGTTCATGATCAAAAACAAATTCGGTTATCAACGCGAGTTTCAAAATAAATGAAAAATATTTTCCATTATATTTGACATTCCGAATCCTATCTAGATATAATAAGTACAGGTTAATGATGGTATGGTCAATTTATGCATGAATAAATACAATGTCAGAAAAGGCCAAAATATTGCTTTTATAATAACGTTACTGTAAATGGCTATTTAGCTGAAGTTACAAGAGGAAACTCGGTTAATATCTATCTCCAAATGAGCATAAAATAATAATCATACTCACTTAAAAAATTCTGGATATTCATTCATGGCATCATTGACAAGATCACCACTGACTTGCACCAAATGTAGACTTTCTCTTTGCACCTTTATAAAATCTTTCATTGTCTAATCGAGAGTTGACAACTGAAACAAATGAAGCAGCAATGTACCTGGATAGCTATGACTGCAGCAAACATTATTGTACCAAGAATAAGAAAGAATATCATACATATGCTGATTAGTTTGTCAACAAACTGCTCGACCCAAAACACCATCTATAAAAATATCAATAACAACGTACAAAGCATTTACCTCAGTTACTTTACGTATATTATGTTCAATGAAAGCTATAGATGCCTCGGAGGCTCGCACGCGGGTAAAAGATATCTTACCAACAAACGTAAAACACAAGTGAAAACCACGATTAACCCTTTCCTGGAATTGTTTGGATAAAAACTTATCTGGCAAATATTTTCTTCGATTGAGTTTCGTTTCGCTTGCTTATTGTTTCAACAATGCCGGGTAAAAGTTTAACAATAGACCAACTACGTGTAATAGGAGAAAGTGCATGCGTAGCATGTATGACATTCTTTGATCAATCCTTAATTTATTGGGAAAATTTCGGGTTAAGACTAACTTTTGGTTAAACAAAAATGATCAAGTCCCTTATCACTAAGTAAACAATGATTCATGGAAATGAACAAGAAAACATAAAACCATTTCTATAGCTGTTAATTTACGTAAACAGCACCGTACACACTAGGATACGTAGGTGCTATATAGTCACAGGAGAGTGATTATGAAAACCTAAAGTTCAACAAAGACCGCCTAAATGCCATTGACATTTCTTTTCCAAACAACTCGTCAAATTGAGACCATTCCAATTTTGGTGTGGCGCAAATCACAATTAAACATAGCTAATACCAGAGAGGTATACTGCGAGACTTTTAGCACGGGGGGTTCTCGGATATTTTTCACCACTGTCAGCTACACAAACTTGACGTAGAATTCCAACAAGGCGGCTGAGCCCCTGCCTACTCTGAGCCTATCACCTAAAAATCTCTTTACCACCCTATTGTAACTACGTAAGTTAAGTCTACACGTACCTTTTTATCTCCCAATAATATAGTCCTTGTTATTCCTCTCAGTGGAGCTGGAGCAAGAACATCTTTCCGTTCTTTTGCCCAAACTTTCAGTTTCGCAGAGAATGTGCAAACATATTCATGTAAGGCATTTTCATTATCAATCCATACCAACAATTTTTTCCCCACATATATGACAAAGGGAACAGTCAATAGTTCTAATATCCAGAGGTTCTTTGCAATGCACACAAATCCAGTGGCCCAGAACAACGCGAGGAAGAAAAGATCACTAGCTTTTATGTTGGGAGTTTTTTCATCGACAGTGTCTGTTGTCACGTGATCATCTTTCGTTAATTTTGGCCCATCTTTTGTTTTTCTCCTTTCTACACAAAATATACGCAAAATGCCACAACAAAAAAAATATATTTTCCCAATTATCAGCATCAGAAGTTTATTGACAGTTTCTTACACAGTTTCATCTTCAGATTCAGAATTTTGATTTTTCATAACAGCTGCTGCAGCAAATGACAAATTTCGCAACAACTTACTGCCATCTCTATGAAGCTTGTACTTGTGACCTGAGAATGAAAAAATGTGCATTTACGTAATGAACATGACAAGTATTTTAAAAATAGAAACTAAAAAACTTGTCGTGTTCATTAAATGGGCATAATCAGTTGTGCCTCTATGCAGTTTTGGAAAAAAGATAATTTGATTTTCTTTTATTTCGCTTCAAATAATATTTTCCTTCACATTTTCATATTCTATACAATTTAAATTTTTTTCATAACAAAGGTTAATGCTGTACAACTTATGTACGAGTTCCAGCTCCAGCTTTGCTTAAAACAGAGTTTTAGCTCAGATAAAAGTCTCAATCTCCGAAAATTTATGAAATTTCTTAGTACCAAAATGTTCTTTTCAGAAAAATAAATCGCTCAGAACTTAACGCATTTCGTTTTTCGTGGACATTTATTTGATGAGACATTTACTAAAACTTCTGTCAACTGCTCTGATAATCACTGCTGGATTTTCTGTCCAGACCTCAACAACTCAGATCTTAACTTTGGCTCTATAGCTCAGACTCAAGTGAACAGCATATATGAAGGTTGAAGACAAACACAATAATAAAAATATTTTCTTGAGTGAAACTGCCTTGAAGCAGCTACTATAATTGAATAGCTAGCTAACAACAAAACCTAAGTTGCTAACCTTTATAAGACTTAACTAACTCGGCAAGTGCACCAACACAGCATAGCATTAGGATGAATAAGAACAATGGAACTTTGAACTTCCCAGCACTGGATGCCACGTGTAGAATAAACACACTCCAAACAGGGTATGCAAAGATTGTGATGATTTTTGTATATGATGGTGTCCAAAAAAAAACACAACAATGATAGAATAACAAAGGACAACAGACCATACCTATAAAAAATTTAATTCAACATACCAGAATGAAATTGAATATAAGTAGACAGATACTTTAACAGGAACAATATGGTGTATGTACTAGTGCATGCTCAAGCAGAAAATGATCAACTATAATTTTAGTACAAGACCAAATGAAATATTCATTTTTCACTTTTTGATGAATTTTGTTATTACATTAAAGTTCAGAATGATATAAAGGCCTGAAAATATGAAAAATTATAACTTCTGCTAAGTATACTCATTTTACTTAAATTACCTATGAAGAAATTTTACTTCTGGTCTTCATTAGAGTTGCAACATTATTTGTAAAACTTCTTTGCATTATTTTTTTAAAGATATGTCATTAACGCATTACTTGTTGTACTAATATTAAAAGATTGAACAAACAATAATATCTGCTTCCTCTTATAACATGAAACAAGCCAGACAAAATTTCAAAGAAACTTGGTGTGAAACATACTTTCAATCTTGTCTGTCAAGTTTTCTTCATATAAAATTAGGGTCATGGCAAACGGTCAGGTTATTTACATTGAGGGGGGGGGAGCCAGGGGCCAGTTGCACGAAGCCTGGATGGAAAAAAATTGCTATCCAATCCAATGGATAACGCTATCCAGGCTTCGTGCAACCAACCCCAGTAATTTAGTCATGCTGTTTCTGTCAGTAAAAACAATACATTTTCAATGAGATGACAAATAATAATGTTTTGACAATTACATGGCAGCAACCTTAGTAGGACTAATGTAGTTGGTTGGCTGCAACACTAATTATCAACCTTACCCATAAAGGATTCGAGAAATAACCAAGAGCTTGATACAGAAACATTCCAATTCCACTGACAATGATGAAAATCTCATTAAATGGTTGGTATAAATATAGCAGATATAAGGCTAATGATGTGCACGTCAAAGATAATAATTCCGTGATGTGACGAAATATAAACACACCAATGATCGCTGATAGTTCATTCAATACTTGAAAAGGCAGAATTGCAAAACCCACGAGCAAAGGTGTATTAGATTCTCTCAGAGATCTCAGCCATGAACATACAAGTTTTGACAACGTGTACTTTAAAGGAAATAAAAAAGCCCCGCACAGTACAGCCCATAATAAAGGTTTGACGAAAGCTTCCAAAACAAAATACACCGCCACTGCAGCACCAAGACCAACAAAAATAAACGAAAATGCTGCAACATTGTAGAAAGCATTTTGCAAATGTACGTCACTTTTTGAATCTCGAAGAACCGTAGTTAAGGGTGTACTGAAGTATCGTGTTATCTGTCGAACTGGAGATCTATCTGTCATTTCTTGTCCCTTATTCAACTATTTGAAGTAATGATATGTAGAATTGAAAATATATGACTTCGTCGACTTTTTTTGTTGTCTTGAGCTTGATTTTGGTCTTCAATCGAGATCTCGATTCTTGTTTTTATATTAAGACGCGCCTGTGGTTGTCCGTGTTTATAGGTCAGCAGATAATACAATTTTATCTTGCCTACTTTACCACAGTACTTTACCCATTGACCAAACGACCAATTTTTTTCTACTTTTTTTTACCAAAAAATAAGTTTATGATGTTTGAAGTAATGAAGTTTTACTAAAAAATATTGCTAATATGAGTAAATTGTTATATGTTTGTAAATGATGATCGTCCAGGTTAATAAAGTCCTGAGAAGGACTGAAGGTTAATAAAGTCCTGAGAAGGACCGATCATCATTTACAAACATATAACGATACTCCCGGGTTCAAACCATTTACTTTATGAGTAAATTGCTAATATCAGGTTTAAACGTATTGCCTTCTATAATCTATATGACGGATCACCTAGCACATGATCAAGAGTAATCACTGATAAGCGACGTTGTTGAAGCTGGTTTTGAAGAGCAGCTGAGCTGTGGTCTAACGATTGTAACCAGCCTGCAAGAATACGGTCTCTTCATATTCAGTTTTACATTATGATTCATTTCAGTCCTTCAAAAATCTCTTGCTTTTTTCACCGAACAAACAAACGCATCTTTTGCTCCAATGATAGACACTTACGCTCACTTGGGAACGACGAGCAGCCTCTTAGTGTATACATAATATATTAACCTAACACGGTTTTACATGCACATGAAAAACTTAGTGTATACCAGACGTAGGAGTTTTTTCATGCTTAGTAAGTTCTAGAACAACAGTTTAAATTTGATCCTATAGGTCTCGATAAATTTGAACTACAAATCTGGATGGTCTTACGATAAATTTAGGCTGGCGAGTGGCGACTGAGGTTGAGCGTGAGTTTGTCAATAAGGTCAAATCTAGGATGGAAGTGGAAACGCAGTAATAAACTGGTTTAAAGACCTGTAAAATCCCTCTAATGTTTCATGAGTGCAATTAAGCAGCGTAGGCAAAGCCGTAGGAAACGGGAGGCTTTAGCCTTGTAAAGTGCATCGTTAGCCCCCCTCCCCCACACCAAGTTAAAAGACCTGTAAAATCCCTCTAATTTTCCATGGGTACAAGTAAGCAGAGTAGGCAAAGGCGTAGGAAACGGGGGCTTTAGCTTCGTAAAGTGCATTTTTAGCCCCCCAAAATGAAGGTTGATATTTCCAAAATCTTATACTAACTGACATTGATTTGGAATACGTATCTTACAAGACAATAAAAACCACCAATCGTTCTGGTTATTTGTTAAATTTTTTATTTTGTGTATTGTACTAAACTTGCCTGCTGCATTGCTTGTGTCATGTGTATTGTAATGAAGTCCAAAGTATACAATAAAAAATTTATAACTAGCTCCCAAGTTCCGTAAAGGACTCTAAAATAATGAAAGCTACAGAGCTCTTAAAGTTTAAAATAATTTGGATTAGGTCGACTAATTGTTGACTTCAGTCCCCTCGAAAAAATTGCATCTGTTTCTACGCATATGACTGTTGTTATGCATTTCTTGCATCCAGGGTAAAGGGCCGTAACGATGGAGGGAGAGGCTGCACATTTGAGAAAAATAGACTCACACGTTGAATTATATTGGGACGTACACGTGTACTGTACACAAAGCATTGACGTCAGTAAATGCTATTTAAATCACTTTTACAATTCCTTTTTTTCAAATATGCACCCCCTTCAAAGTTTCTGGTTACGGCCATTAAAGTAAAAAGTAGAATTAATTCAGGTCAGTCCTGTAACTAGTAATTACTTCTGTTCAGTATCTCCAAGAAAAGTTGTCATCCAAAGCCACCACGTTTTTACAGTAGTTCCCAGGACCTTTACTGCTAATTTTCAAATTAATGCTCAACGTAAAAGTCGTTAACGTTCAAAGTTCAAAACCGTCGTGGATGATAACGCACGTTTCAAATTCAGAAAATAACACAAACAAAATGAATCGTTCATTAAAACGAGAAAGCCTTTTTAGGTGGAATGATACGTCTACAAACATTCGCGGTATAAGACGAGAAACTGGGAAAAATTTGAGCATAAATGATATGTACAAAAGAAAATGGAGAGCAGTGAAGACTGCAATTGATGTAAGCAATCACATGAAAGTGATTTTTCAAAAAAAAGCAAGAGCAAGAAGCAAGTCGGTAAAATCCCGAAAGTTAAAATTTTCTGTGAACGAAGAAATAAAACAACAAGCAGTAAAAACTGATGAGGAACGCAAGATTTCGCGCGAGGTAGCTATAAAAACACGTTTCAAAAAAGTCTAGCATTCAAGAATCACGCGCTCTCAATATACATCAAATTTCTCATGTTTTTATGTGATGCATAATGACATTTCTTGAGTGTTTTTTTTTTTGTCTAGAAAAGTAAAGCAAAATTCAAGAATATTGTTAAAAAGGTATGAAGCGAGTTGAGTTTTACTTGTCAGTTTACTAGACGTACTTTTGAGAAGATCTTAAGCCATAACAAAAAACCTGTTTTCATCTATTAAATATAGTAGAAAAAAATGCCAGCATGACATCAACAGCAACAATAAGTTATACCGAAACAGAGCAGACAAAACATTATCATAAATGTAGAAATTATATAATACTTAGACATAACTGTCAATCAACGGACTCTTCCTCTGGTTCTTCAAAATCCTATGATCTGCCAAAAATAATTAATATAATAAGTTCAAAGATGTGAAACTTATATAAATTTTTTTTTGTTCTTGCATTTGTACAAAGTTTATGTCAAGCGTGAAAAAATGTGAAGTGTTAAAATCCTTAATCAAAAACAGATTTCTGTTGGGAAAACTAAGATTTGTTTACCACACTTATAAATAATTCTTGACTCGACGTGGTGTGCCGTGTTGGTTGATGAAAGAATTCTCGAAAGTTGTTATTTTGGGAACCTAAACATGTCAACTTAAGTGGCGTATAAATCATGGATTCTTTAGCGTCTTAATCAACTGTTTGAAATCAAAAACGTGCAAAAACTAAAAAAATATCAGAATGTTTATTATCTCGATCAGAGGCGTAAATAGAACGTTACTTCGGGGTGCATTCATATATTCCGTTGTGCCCTACTGATTTCTTTTGAAAGTGAAAAAACCTAACTTGCTTAGACTTTCGAGAAATTAACACAGTATCCTATTGCATTAAATTTACAAAACATATTCCTTCATCCTACCGCCATGCACCTCATCAAAATAGGGAAAATTAAATTATATTCAGAGATGTTTGCTCAGCTTGTCTGCAAATAATGCATTTTAACTTTCAATTTAGATCATGTATCTTCGATCGGTATTAGGTCAAGTTTTAAACAGCGCATTAGAACATGGAGGCTATGAGAAAATTACATCTGATCTCCGACTTCGACTAAAATTAGATAGCGCCAATTTACGTACAGATCGAGCGAATATTTTCAATCCTGATCAATACAAAGCCGATTATCAGATATTAAAAACTATTATCAGATTGTTGAGAAGTGCTTATACGTGTAGATTTGGACACGAGCCTGGTTAACAGTATCTTCAAGGAATGATAAAAAAAT